TATGCCCGCAACCAAGGTACATGCCCTTGACCAGAATCGAACCTGGAACCCTTCGGTCCCAAGACCGACGACACTCTACATCCACTGAGGCAAACCAGTTTCGGCAAGGGTTTTATTTTTTAAATGAGCCTCACTGACCTGCAGAATGAAGCTGCATTTAGAAAACTCAAGCTTATTACTGAGGACATTCAGGGCAAAAACTGCCTCATTTCCACGGCCTGGATCTTACTCGTGACAAAATGTGCTCCACAGTCAATGCATGGCAGACCCTGACTGAAGCTCATGTCGGTATCAAGACAACGGATGATTGCTTCATCTGTTCTGTGTTGGTTTTACTAAAAATTAAAGTAAAAACCATCAGATTCAGAAGACCTCTTATGCTTATCAAGAGGACTGCCAAACCCAAGAGATGATGGAAATCATGATCCGACAGAGCTGACAAATGACTTGCACAAAGTCCATGAACTGACTCCAGATCGCACTGGGAAAGGCTGGCCCATCTAGTTATCCACTCCAAGAAGTCTTTGTCAGAAAGTCAAATGCTGCAGAAGCCCAAGTCTGAACTGGGGAAACTCACGGAGCTTCCTGGTGAAGGTCGCTGCTCTGGAAAAGCCACTGGGGATGAGACAGGTGCTAACGGTGAAGGAGCTGATGGGCAAGAATCTGCTTCACTCAGACGCAAGGGTGACAAAGAAAAAATCCAATTTGTGAAAAAACAGTTTAGCACCGTGCCTGCCCAAGTACTGACGGAAGGCATGCATCTGTTCAACAATCAGGACATGAGCCATTACAGAAAGTAAAATCCACGCTCCCCAGACGCTCTGTAGCACTAGATATTGTGGATAGCTATGCTTTCTAGGTATTCTTCTTATCCTCTTAAGTAACAAAAATTACATCTGAATCATTTTGGATAGAAAACCAAAATGTTTTTCCTACTTTCATTAACAAGCTACAGTGAATGTAAATTAATCTTTATTTGATGGCTAAGAGTCACAATAAACGAGAATTGTAGCAAAAGCAATAGTTTGGTGATACTTGGGACCTCACCCAATGTATAGGGCTATATAGTACCTCTATGTATTTTAATAGTCTCAAATTACTGGGGGTGGAGGGGAGAGATCCTAAATTTTAATTGCTTTTTCTGTTTCTTATTTTGTCAATCATACAGACATAACATACTACCATAAATACTGTAAGACCATGTATTGGGAGAGGGACTGCTTTTTTTAATTCGAAGTGTGAGAAAGTTTATTTAGAAAGCTAGAGAGGTAGCGGTGAGCCAGCTGGACTGTGTAGGCTCTGGAAACAAGTTAGAGGAAGCTGGAGGGCCCTTGGAGCTTAGGAGAGAGAAAGGCAAGGATCCTGGGGGAAAGGCGTGGGTGGGACTGACTAATTTTGATAAGAGAACCTACTATACGCCAGGTCTGAGCTAAAACTTTGCAGTGTGCCTGGCACAGAGTAGATGATGGGTAAACATTGGGTAGGTGAAAGGCATTAATGTGCCTGCCTGAGCAGGTCCACTCCCCTATTTCCTGTTTCTAATCTGCCAACATTTGAAAAGATACCCAAGTGAGAAATGTAAAATGTCTGGCATGGTACTTAGCACACAGCAGGTGCAGCACGGCAAAACTGTATGTGCTGAACTGAACTGAGGATGGCTAGCAGTGAGTACTTGCAACGTGCCAGAAATTGGGGTTTCTTCCACATATTACCTAAGACAGTACTATAAGGTAGATAATATTATCCCCATTTTATATGCAGATATTAAGGTTCAAAGTGGCTGAGGAATATGTATAGTCAGTGGCGATAGCAACACAAACCCAGGCGTCTGACTCCAGACAAATGGCCTCAGCACAGTACGCCGCTGCCCCGGGATGTACGAGGTAAATAAGGGAAGCTCGGAAGGACAGGCAGTTAATAACTTTTTTTTTTTTACTCTAGAAGTCTTCTTTGCTGACTCTCAGGAACATTCTCAATGGTAAGGGTTACTATATGGAAACACTATACTGACAGGCCAAAGCAATAAACTGTGAAAGTTGGGCAAAGTATTACACTCCTGAGAATGGGTTCCAAAGTGGAAGCCTGAGAGATCAGTGTGCGTTGGGGTCATGAGGGACAGCTTTGCGAAGCTAAGCCCTAAGCCCAAGCAGTGGGAGAGAAAAGGGGAGGGTGAGAGGGGGCAGTGTGTGGCTTAAGAATAAGCACAAAGCTTTTGTGGAATGGGGATGGGGGTGTCATACATAGAAGACTAGAGGGACAGATTGATAAATGAAAAGACAAACACATGTGTGGTTTGAAAAGCATTTTTCCAGAGGCTGGAGAAAGTGCAGCAAAAGTACTGTCGTCTGCAGCTGTAAGCTCCTACTCTTGCCCGCTTTACTTGGTCACTCAAACAGCTGGACAAACGTCGCCTGCAGTTGGCAGTACCAGTGGGGGCAGGACAGGGAAGCTAATGCAAAGGCCAAGTCTGAAACTATGATTCCACCCAGGGTCCCTGAGGTGGGGAGTGTGGGCAGAGGGACCCACCCTCTACTATTTCCAAATCTCAAAAGCAGGACATGCTGACCCAGGAATTATTTAAACACAGGGTCTCTTTTGCTTTCAAGTCTTTCGCAGATTGAACCAGTCACCTCTAATTAATGACACGCCTAGTGTAACAAGTGCCTGCAGATCCCCCTGCCCCTGGGGTCACAGGGATGAGACGCTGCTCCCAGGCTATCTTCCATCTCCCAACAGTCACAGGAGCAGTCAGAGTCACCTCTCCTGCGCAGGGGATGGAGACACCACCATCTACACTTCATGACAAACTGGACACATGCTATTAGCAGAAGGCCCAAAGTAAAAACACTGTGCTCATCAAAAGATTTCCTACTCTTGCCGGGACCGGTTTGGCTCAATGGATAGAGCGTCGGCTTGGGGACTGAAGGGTCCCGAGTTCGATTCCGGTCAAGGGCATGTACCTTGGTTGCGGGCATGTCCCCAGTAGGGGGTGTGCAAGAGGCAGCTGATCGATGACTCTCTCTCATCGATGTTTCTAACTCTCTATCTCTCTCACTTCCTCTCTATATGAAATAAATAAAATATATTTAAAAAAAAAAAAAAAAAAAAGATTTCCTACTCTTGCTTAACTACATGGCAGCTAAATCCTCAGCAAAATTTCAACAGCCTCGGAGTGAGAGCACTAAGAGTGACGTGACCTGTACTTGAAGGCAGTAGAGACATGAAAGTGTCTCAATTCACAGGGGGGTGGGGGCATATATAGGGAGGGATTTGGGATGAATGGGGGGATGAGGACAATTATGTAACAACATAATTTAAAAAAAAAAAAAAAAAAAGAAAGAAAAGAAAGTGTCTCACTTCAGCAGAATATACCAGGGGTTACGGTATCTGGCAAACCTCCAAATGCTACATCATTCAACTCGTTAGAAACAGGCACCTCCGAACTTGTACAGTCTTTCTCATCTCTCAGACATCAAGAAGTACAGAAATATCAAAGTAACCCAGGCAAGATTCAAAACCCAATTCACTCATTTGAAGTACATTTTTCAACACCTGTGATCTAGGGACTGGGAATATAAACATGAGAAGACAAAATCATGTACCATCAGTTCATCATTGCCACTCAAGGAGCGTCCCACTCACACCACGTAAGTTTCCATTCCCACCTTGTGCCTCCCCCCGAGGTGTGCCCACCTGGCACATCTACTTCGCCTACCCAGATCCTTACTTCCTTCAAAGCCAGCTGAAGTCCTCCTCCTCCAGGAAGCCCTGATAGCCATCTCGTCCCAAAGGGATCTCTCATTTCTCTGAACTACTAACAATTACAGTATTACCATCAGTTTATTTAGAAATGTATTGTCCTCTAATATTTTTATAAACCCTGGGTACCAATTGTGTGAAAGCATTTTTCCAGAGGCTGGAGAAAGTGCAGCAAAAGTACTGGTGTTTTAATCCCCAAAAGAACTAAGGAGAGTTCTCTTATATTACTTTCAAAAATCTTTCTATATTAGTTCCCACTCGGTGCTTAATACATAACAAGTAGAGTCTTTGGGCTTCCTTGGTCCAAGCTCACCCAAACTGATGTTACATAAATTAAAAGGGAACAAAAGCAAACCAAGCCATTACTAAATGAACTTCCACTTCTTAAAAACCTCAAAAGAACAAGGAAGGAAAAGAAAACAGGCTATGAAAGTGCTGCTGAACCAACACATTTTACTCACACTGTCAATCCCGCCCTCCAGGCCACGCAAAAGTGATCTCTTCTTCCCAACCTCACAGCTCAGGTTCAAGGGTTTAACAGCAGACCTTGGAGAGGTGGAGAGCACCCCTCAGTTTCCTAAACAAGTCTCTCTAAAGCTTTATATCTTGACGAATAAGCCCCCTGATGAGTCCTGCATGTGCCACTTAACAGGGTGACCAATCCAATGAGGTTCCCTACAAGGAACTGGAGTTTGAGCTTCAAGCACTCTGAAGGTGTTAAGTCCAGAGGCAATTTTAATGTAAACAACAAAAGCCAGGTCCTGCAGAGCCCGGGGGGAGATTCCAAGTTCCCAAAAGAAGGGAAGCGAGAGAATTTCCTCCAGGGGCGCCGCGAGATTCTGCAAGACTGGGCAGTTTCTGCAGGAGAAGAGGGCAATTTTTAAAATATATACATATACATATACATATACATATACATATACATATACATATATTGCTCTAAAGTGGCTTGTTACATACGACAGCTGGCACCCTACGGCGGTCGAGGGTGAAGCCGGGCTGAGCCATGCGGCAGAGGCTGCCACCTGGGCACTCCCACCATTCTTCTTAGCCGGGTCAGGAGACCAGACCTGGAGAGCCCGGCGCCTCTCGGACCCGCACCAGCGTCCCTGGTCCCCGATGGCCATCTGCCTTCGCCTCGGGGCACCCCAAAAACCCACCCGCCCGGGTCTCAGGAGCCTCGATCTCTCTAGGGACCCAGGAGACCAGCCCCAGACGGCTGCCCGGCGCCCGTTACCCACCTGAGCAGGCTGGAGAGGGGGTGGCTCGAAGAGCCCAGGCCGCCGCCGCCGCCGCCTCCGGAGCCGCCGCCGCCGCCGCCGCCGCCGCCCCCGAAGCCCGAGGAGAGCCGCTTCCCGGACAGCAGCTTCTCCACGGCCGGGAGGTGCCCGGTGCGGGCCGCCTCCAGCAGCTCCTGCTCCTTCCCCATCCCCAGGGCCACCGCCCCCTGGACCCCCTCCCGGGCCGCAGCCCAGCCGGCTCTGGCTCCCAAACTTTCCGTCTCCGGGCAACGCACCCCCCCAAAACCGGCCGGAGACACCACCCCCCGCCCCTTGCCTCCCCCCACCCCCAGCAGCGCGTCACTTCCGGGATCCGGCGTCACGCGTCACGGCGCCCGGCGCCCGCCGCGCGCCCACCTAGCTGGGCGGGGCGGCGGGCGGCGCAGGTGGCCGCGGGCGCCACGTGGGCCTCGCGGGGCCGGTGGGGCCTCCTAGGCGCGGAGCGCCGTGCGGTGCCCGCGGCGCAGGTGAAGGGGCCCGCGGGCCACCTGTGTCCGCCCCCGAAGTGCGCTCCTCCCAAAGGTTTGGAGCCCAAGACGTGAATACGGTAATCCAGGCCGTGGAAACAAAGAGGGGAGTGTGGCAAGGCGCACCTGCATTCCTCGGTACGCATAAATTATGTGAATTTGGGGGGGCCAGTGGCAGGGGGGCGAATAAAATGCCCCTCTACCTCAACGACGGAAAGGAGGAAAAAAATCTAAATAAAAATATACCCTCTTCATGCTCCCAATCCCCGCAATGTCTCCTGAAGTGAAATTCAAAATAAAAGAACCTGCCTCTTACTTTTGATGGACTTAACCAATCTGCCGGGGAAAGTCGGGTGTGGGGAACCGACCCCGACCTTGAGGGCCAGTGGCGGGAAAAGTCGTTTAATTGGGCGTAAACTAGGTTGTTTCTGGCACTGCCACTGCTCCTGGCTCGAGCTGGCGCTCAGTGGTGTGGGGGGACAGATTCCGTTCCCGCCACTTTCTCCCGAGCTGCCGCGGAGGGACGAGGGCCGCTGGCCGCGCGCGGGAGCCGGGCCCGTGGAGCCGCGTCCCAGCGAGCTCGTCGCGGGAGGCGCATCCCGGCTTCGCGCACTGCGCCCCTCCCGCCGGCCGGGGAAGCGGTGAGGACGGGTTCACTGACGCGGCGGGTTCGGGGGCGGCGAGGAGGGGGAGTCCTGCGGTAACCCGCGCAGCTCTCCTGCAAAAGGCGGCGTCCCAGCGTGGGGAGCCCACCGGCCGAAAGCCGCGCCCGCTCCCTCCGCCGCCCTGAGAGCGGAGCCCGGGTGTCGCCTCTGAATGACCATGAGGAGCCGGCGGGTGACGTCATCGCGGCGCGACGACCGGAAGTGAGCTCCCGGCTCCGAGTGTGGCAGCGCAGCGACCCGCCGTCCCGCATTCGGCTGCGATGGAGATGGACGGCGCCTGCGAGTCGCCCGCGGAAAAAGGCGGAGAGACGGGGGCGCCCGACGAGGTGGCCGCAGCCCCCGCGGGCCCTGGGGCCCCCGACGCGGACGGACACCCTGAGGAAACGGACGCGGACGGAGACGGGGACTTGAAAGAAGCCGCAGCTGAGGAAGGCGAGGTAGGGAGACGTCGGCGGGGCCGAGAGGACCCCGAGATTGTGCTCCGGCTGCGCCACCTCGAGGTGCCTGTGGGCCCCCGCCCCCGCCCCGGCCTACACCACTGGAACGCACGGTCCCGCGGATCTGCTGTCGTGGAGGCGGGCGGGGTGGGCGGAGAAGCACTGTAGGGCTGGTCCGGTCCGGGAGACCCAAGCGCCGGGTTCATATTTTTAATCCCTACCTTTGACTATTAAAACTCCTTTTCTAAGGGAATTTTAACAGCGTCTTGGTTTTCCCGGAGAGAAAATTGGGATCCAATGTTACACTGAGACAGTGCAAAGCGAGAACCCGGGATTCCTAGAATCCCTTCCACTGCAGTGTGGTTTCTCACAGATGTTGCTTAAGCACAACTTGGTTATTCTAGGCAGCAGAGTCGTTAAAGGGAGGCTGAGGGAGCTACCGGCTTAATCACTTTGTGTCCAGTGGTCTCTGTGGCGTAAACACACCAGGCCCATCAGTTGTGTCGGGCCAAAGCGCCACAGGGATCAATAGCCCAGCGTCAGCCCGGGGACCAGAAGCTCCGTGATCTCTGGATTCCCCTTCTAGAGAGAGAATCGTAGGCTCTCAGAACAGTAAGTCTGGCACTTAAAGAGATTGTGGAAGGATATTAGACAGAAACAGCCTCTCAAAGCATCAAGTTTTATTAAAATACTAAAGGTCAGGTGCACGAAATTCGTGTGGGAGTGGGTGGCGGAGCAGGACGGGCTGCTGGCTCCCAACTGCTTGCCTTCCTGCCTTCCTGACAGCCCCTAACCACTTCTGCCTGCCAGCCTGATCACCCCCTAACCACTCCCCTGCTAGCCTTAGTGCCCCTAACTGCCCTCCCCTGCAGGCCATCTTGCAGTGGTCATCTTGGGTGTTGGAGTGATTGTCAGTTTGCATATTACTCTTTTATTACATAGGATAGAAAGTAAGAACTTTTAGAAAAAGAACAATGTTGTGAAACTTTTAAGAAGGAACCTTTAACCCAACTGACCTGGCTCTGGTTGAGCATTGACCTCTGAACCAGGAGGTCACAGGTCACAGTTCTATTCCAGGTCAGGGCACAAGCCCGGGTTGCCTGCTAGATCCTCACTGTGGGGCAAGAGGCAACCGGTCAATGGTTCTCTCTCTCTCTCTTTCTACCTCTTCCTCTCCTTTCCTAAGCAATAAAAATAAATTTTTTTAAAAACTGAACCTTTGAAACATCTCAAAAACAAAAAGGATTTGAGCCAAAACCAGTTTGGCTCAGCGGTAGAGCGTCAGTCTGCGGACTAAAAGGTCCCAGGTTCGATTCCGGTCAAGGGCATGTACATTGGTTGCGGGCACATCCCCGGTGGCGGGGGGGTGCAGGAGGTAGCTGGTCGATGTTTCTCTCTCATCGATGTTTCCTCTCATAATCTTAGGTTTAAATGAGAATTCCTCTTGACAAAACAAAGTTGAAATCTCATTGAGATTTGTTGTATCGTTAGATTGTAAATTAAATTGAAGGGGATGAAGCTTGGATTTTGATTGTTTGTTTGTTTGTTTGTTTATTACACAGACAATAAACATCTAGCATAGCCTGGCCAGCATGGGTCAGTGGTTGAGCATTAACCTATGAATCAGGAAGATCGAGGTTCAATTCCCTGTCAGGGTACATGCCTGGGTTGCAGGCTCGATCCCAAGTGTGAGGTGTGCAGAAGGCAACCAATCAATGATTCTCTCTCATCACTGATGTTTCTATCTTCCCCTCTCCCTTCTCTGAAATCAATAAAAATATTTATTTTTTTAGCATAAATAAAACTATGCTAACTGTTTTAGTGGGGCGAGATAAATGAGACAAACCTGTCTTCACAAAATTTTCAGTCTAGTACACATTTGCATGATGCAGTAGAATTAAAAGGTAGGAAGAAAAGAATACTACATTGGGAGAAACTCATTTAAAGTTCCAAATTTAAAGAAATACTGTTTTGATTACAAGGGGCCTCCTTTTTAATATCCTTTCCACATGGAATCATCACAAGTAAGGAGATCTACAGATGTAGAAGCAGAAGAGCTGGGTGGATGGAAAGGACTGTTCTGGCATCCCCTCTAAAGAAGGAGGTTCGGAGAGTGGGCTCAGGGGAAATGTTTTCATGATCCTTAGCATTTTATTGCCCTTGCAAACAAATGTGGGAGCTAAGATCATACCTAAACAAGAAAACTGATTTTTAGCTAGTTTTCTTTCCACAGCTAGGCTATAAATTTCTTATCCTACCATTGAATAAATGTGTTTGTGTATTGTAATGAGGATGATGTTTTCTTACCTTATCAAGTCTGGAAAGTAGGCTAAATATATAAAAGCGTTTCTTTCATCTCCTCAGCTCAAGAGTCAGGACATCTCAGATTTAACAGAAGTTGAAAGGGAGGACTCATCATTACTTACTCCTGCAGCCAAAAAGCTGAAAATAGAACCCAAAGAAAAGAAAGAGAAGAAACAGAAAGTGGATGAAGATGAGATTCAGAAGATGCAGTAAGTTACTTTGTGATCTTTCCCCATTGCAAGGCTCTAACTTGACCACACAAAATTAAGAAGTTTTTCTTGACCTTTAATTTTTTTCTTTTATAAACTCCTATGCTTTCTGATTGTAAAAGTAGTATGGTTTCATTGCAGGTAAGGCAGAGACTACAGAAAAAGAGGGGCGTGGGGAGGAAGTTACCCATAATCCCATCACTTAGAGTTTACCCAGGGTATATACCTTTTCATTTTTTTTTTTTTTCTAATGTTTGGTATGTATTGCTAAATGTTTTCATGTCAGTAAATGTGCCTGTAAATCATCATTTTTTTTAATGGCTACATTGTATTCCATTGTGTGGATGGACCATAATTTGACCAATCCCTGCAATTGTTCTTGTGTTTTGGATTTTTTGTTTACAACGTTATGATGCACATCTTTACATACTTGTCCATTTGATTCCTAAAATAAACTAGAAGTGTAGTTGCTAGTTCAAATGGTATGAATATTTTCAAAGAATTTTCATACGTATTTCTAAATACTTCTCCAAAAAGGTTGTTCCACTTCATATTTTATCAGCATGTATGACTTTCTGTCTTTCCATTCTCTTTAGTACCATTCTTTTTAATACTTGTCAATCTGGTTTATGAAAAATGTTATCTTGTTTATTATAATTTCTTTACTAATAAAAGTTAATTTTTCCCCCTCTATACTTATTGGCCATTGGTGTTTTTGTAAAGTTTCTATTCATGTTCTTTGCTCATTTTCTAAATTGGTATGGCTGCCCAGCCACATGGCTAAGTGGTTGAGCATCAACCTATGAACTACATCCGGACACATTCCTAGTCACGGCACATGCCCATGTTGAGGGTCCCTAGTAGGGCATGCAGGAGGCAGCTGATCAATGATTCTCTCTCATCATTAATGTTTTTATCTCTCCCTCTCCCTTTCTCTCTGAAATCAATAAAAAATATATATTTAATAATAAATAAAATTGGTATGGCCATTGTTTTATTTATGTGAAAGAATTCATTCCTATGGAGTATTAACCCTTTTCCATATATTTTACAAAATGTTCCTCCTTAATTGAAAACTACTGGTTTGAACACAATTTTATATATTAAATTTTTACAATAATGTGAAGTGTAATAAGGTAGCATTATAGGAGAGAGCCTAAGGCTGAAAACACAATCTATATGGTATGATACAGTGACCTACTTTGTTGTTTCAGTTTTTGTTCTTAATAAAGTAAGAAAGGAAATAGTGTTTAACTTACTCTCAAGTGCCTTAAGAGTAGAAATACTTTTTCATTCCTCATGAGCATTAACCTAATACCATCATCCCCTTGACAATTCATTTTCAATTTGACGATTGATTTTATTGATGTACTAAATATTTTAAGCATTCTTTCCTATAAGTTAACTTAATTACCTGAATCTTTGTCTAGAATCCTGGTTTCTTCTTTTTCTGAGGAGCAGCTGAACCGTTACGAAATGTACCGCCGCTCAGCTTTTCCTAAGGCGGCCATTAAACGGGTAAGGATGACCTATCACACTTCATTTTCATCAGCTGGGAGGACCAAACTGGTATCCAGAGTTATGTCCCATGGCATTTGGAAGTGACGTGACGGGCAAGTTGGGGGTCACATGTCCCTCAATAATTTAACCAATTTTGGTTTTGTATTCCAGGGATAGGGTCTTGACACACGGAATCGTTGCTTCACTAGTCTCAATTTCAGCATCTGGCCTTTAGCAAACACTCTCAGGGCAGAGCTCTTGTGGGCACTTGTTTCTAAAGCCGGACTGGACTACTGTAATCCGTCTCTGTCCTTCTCTCCAGCTGATCCAGTCCATCACTGGCACCTCCGTGTCTCAGAACGTGGTTATTGCTATGTCGGGTATTTCCAAGGTTTTCGTCGGGGAAGTGGTAGAAGAAGGTGAGTGGTGTTGGTATAAGTAATGGGCTGAACCTGTGATGATCTTCAAGAACATCGAGACTGAGGGACTAAATAAGGCCCCTGTTGTAGTTTCCACTTATGCTAGAGGTTGACCAAGGGGGGACCTTTGTATTTGGCAGAACATGACCATTAGTCCTTCAGAGTTTCCCTTCTGGGAGTTAGGAAACATCTAGGAAATGTCCCTTCCTGATTCCTGTCCGCAGCCCAGGGTGACAGAAGCAGACCTTGTATTTTTCTCTTAATGCACTTTGTTCATTTCTGCTGCCAAAAGATACAAGAAATGCTGTCACGGGCTGACCAGTGTGAGGAGTTGTAACTGATATTTTGACCCTTGAAACTGCTCCCACACTCACCGAGTAAATAACTTGGCTGCTTCCCTCTGCGAATCACTAGCAACCTCAGTATGTGCCCTTGATCAGGAATCAAACCTGAGACCCTTCAGTGCCAGGCCTAATGCTCTAACCACTGAATCAAGCTGGCGAGGGCAAACATGGTACATTTTAGAGAAAATGCCTTGGTTTATTTCCTCAGCAAGCTTAGAAGAGTTGATAAGAATTACTCAAAAGGATTGTGAATAAGCTCTGGTGTGCTCACAAAACTGTCTCCTTACCCTCTCTTTAGCCCTGGATGTGTGTGAGAAGTGGGGAGAAATGCCACCACTACAACCCAAACACATGAGGGAAGCTGTTCGGAGGTTAAAGTCGAAGGGGCAAATACCCAACTCGAAGCACAAAAAAATCATCTTCTTCTAGGACCAAAGCTGAGAAAAGCCTGGCACAGGAGGATGTGCTGGTTCCACACTTGGGATTGCAGACTGCGTGTGCGCACTGGTGCTTTGGGGTCTGCCCATGTTTCAATGTCTTTCTCAACACTGTTCGTCACACCTAGAAAGCATGTGGCCTGGTGCATACATGCCTTGACTAAATATTGAGACCTTTGGGCATTTTGAGGCAATTGATTGGCTCATTGGAAGCAGAAAGGCACCTGGCATGGCTTCTCTGGGCGAGCTGCTTTCAGAGAGAAAACTTTCCTGGAGAACTCAGATGGTTTCGCACTGGAGCCTGAAGTTGCTCTTAGGGTTTCTTACCTCTGGTTTAAGTAGGTGAAACAACCAGGAACTATTAGTGCCACTCCAAAGGAAGTTGTGGTGCAGGAGAGGGGAAGTTTCTCCCTGTACACATTATAGAATATCCGATGGATTTTGGTGAGTGATCATTAAACTATTTCCCAACTTGTTGTATGTGTATTCATTTTCTGTCTAACTGGTTGGAATAGGGGGAATTCATCATTCGTATTTTTGGTGTAAAACTGGTCTTGGATTTTTTTGTGAAAATTTGAACCCTTCTCACTTTCTACTAGAGCTATTAAAATTTAGTATTAAAAGAGTACTCAAAGCACTTAAGCACAATGTAAAAGCCTATATATTTCAGATTTCTTATAGATATAACACAACCAGTTCTGTTTAATAAGTTTAATTTGCTTTTTTCAGGTGGTTCACAGAACCAGTACGCTCTGTTTGATTAGATATCACAACATTAAAGTTTCCCGATACTGATCAGTATTCTAGTTCATCAGATAAATACCCATTGTTTTCCTCAAATGAAGGGGAAAAGCGTGACCTCTCTGAGACAGTGATTGGCAGTAATACGGCTAGTTTTAGTTGGCAGTCCCCAAAAGTTCTTTCCTCTCGGTGTGGCAGGGAGGGGGGCTTGAAGCTGCTCTGAAGCTTTCCATTCTGTGGAGCACCTGAGTGGGGGAAGCCTCAGTGGGGCAAATCTGACTTAGTACCTTAATTCCAATCATAGCTTTAAACTTGTCCTTAGCCAATGGAGAAGACACTTCAGTGGGGCTAAAAAGTGGTGTTAAAACTCTTGACCAAAAATGAATGAACTAAGGGGAAGTGAGAGAACATACATTCTTAGTTCTAACAGGAATTTTTTTAAGTTATAGGAACTGTATTTCCACGAGAGATACTGGATAAGGCTGGAACTTACAAATAACAAGGGAGAAAGAAAGTTCACCTACCAAGTTTGGCCACTTGGCAAAACCTCCCAGTTAAAGATTATTTAAGAGTGTTTCACCTTATGTCTAAGAGATGGGGAAGATAATCCACACTCAACAATAGCTACTATCCGTACCTCCCCAGAGGTAAACGGGAGTATTCTTATCCTAGCAGAAGGTGGGGAAGCCATTAGTGAAGATAGTATATCCACCAGAATCTCTTGAAATACTTAATGACTGTGGTAAATCACAACTTTTGCAGTTTTCAATATTGGGATGCCGCTTACTAGCTTGTGCAGCACTATTCCATTATTTCCATAGTTTTATGATGTTATAACTGATTTTAGATGTTTAGTCAAATATTAAAGGAGGAAAAAAGCAGAAACCCTTAGTGTAAAGGTTAAAATGGAAAGTCCCCGTATCACCACAGCAATTCTTCAAACTACCTTCTTCCCACTACCCACCTGAACTAAGGGGAAGCTAATGTAAGTGGGTTAAAAATGGAAGCCTTCAAGTTATGGGATGTGTGAGGGTTGGTGGTTACGCCTTGGGTATTCCATACACAGGAACCATTCATTCCTTTTAGAACCATGAAAAAGTACATAAAGTTGAAGCCCATGGCAAAATCAAGGTCAGATTACACACACAGCAAAAAAGCAGCCAACACAAGAATAGAACCCACACCTTTTGTCTTAAGAAACTAGATTAATTATTCCAGTGAGTTGAAAACAATTTGAGATTGAAAACCATCCCTGCAGCTCAGCTGAGAGATTGACACCAGTGCAAGTGCACTAAAGCATATCTCCAGTACATCCATGTAAACAGGAAATGTAGACAGTCACAGCAGAGACAACTGTAAAGGTTTCACAGCTGAAATGCTGATGTGCAGTGGCTGGCGTCTGGGAAGTGGTGCTGTCATCACTCCAGACGATTTCGTGAGGTATTATTTCTTGTTCAGTCTTCAAGCTCCAAGGCAGAAATTGTAAGCAGTCCAAAGGAGCTACCATGTTTTCCTTCCACTTTTTTCCTTTACATTTATCCTGATGATAACCAGTTCACATTCTTCATTATGAAAAAAGAAAATCTTCCCTCTTCCATTGAAGAGAAGCAGGAAGTTACACAAGATGTTTACTAAAATTCCATGGGACAAATGACCCCTACCGTATTTCCTGAGGGATGATTTCAAGATACAATAGCCAAAGCTGCTGTATAATGGAAGTGAAATTTCTGGCTCCATTTTTGTCACATGGACCAGAGCCCTAGAAAGCCCAGAAATGGACTGATCTATAAACAAGGTTAACCTTGGTATTGCCTGGGTTGTTTCTACTGCCTCCCACCAAGCACAAGTTAAGGTAAAGGTATACCAGACAATGCCAATCAGGCATGTTCTTCACATGGAGGGATGCCAGAGGGATATGCTGGGCCAGGAAGAGAGAAAGGGAAGAAAATCAGTGTGATTTTAAATTCTGGTGAGCCTAAGGTAGAATAATTCCATTTTCCAGTGACTGGATCTCCCTTCTCCCCTTCCAAGACTTTAGAAATGCCATACTTGAGAGGACTGGTGATCCATTTGTTCTCCATTCTGCCTTTGAAGAAGCATTGAGGGAGTCTGGAGTTGTATTTCACCAAATAGCCCTAGTGGCCTGCAATTCCTTTCGGGGGCCTCCACCATGCAAGGACTCCTTACCCCCTGCAGCCCTGCCAGAGCACTTGACAACAAGCTCCACAAGTTTCTGATTTGCTATGATAAGTGCTTCCTTTTGCCTAAGGCTCTGCGGTGCAGCCTGCGAGCTATTATTTCAGGACCTGGTGAGCATGTCCTTCCTCTTGCTGGGTATGTGATCAAGCACCACCTTCTGCTATCCTTTAAGACGGGTCCTCATCTTAGTGCCTCCACCCTCCCCCCCCCCATCATTTTGCTGCTCTCTGCACCTGTATATTTTCAGTAAGACCCAAGGTGCACAGGTGATTGAGACGCTAGCATGGCCGTGTCTGAGGTCCTTTTCTGGGTTGTCTCCATGTGCCCTTGCTGATGATGTAATTGGCCTTTTGGCCACAGTAGCACATCGACCCTTCCCCTCAGCAAAGCCTCCATTTCCGTCCTGAGTTTTAACAGAGCGCACTGTCAGCTGCTGTGCTATCTTCTGTAAGTGCATTCCTTCCCACTCACCTGTCACTTTCCTGAGTATTCACAGCCTGGCTTGTGACCCTTCTGCAGTGTGAATGTGTGAGTGTGTGTGTGTGTGTGTGTGTGTGTGTGTGTGTGTGTGGGTTTACAGTCTCTGATTTACCTTTCAATGCCTATAAGTAGTAACATATGATTGCATTGTAATATCCTACTTTCAGGTTATTTATGAAAATTTTAAATAATGTTAAACCAAGCATCAATCAGTAGGAAACTTCCCCTGTTAACACTCTTTCCAGAAACATGTTTATTCTTAAGTCTCTAAGTTGTTTCCAAAATATTCCCATAATCTCACAGTAACTGGTGCTTTTAAACTGCCTTAATAAAGAACTTGGCAAAAGTTCTTTAGAAGTCTGAACAAATTAGATACTGTTCTTTTTATCCTAAAAAATCTATAATATACAAGTTGGGCATGATTTCCCACAGGGAAACATTTTACCGTTCCTTCAATAGGTCAATGTGATCAAGACTTTACTGACACTACTAAATCACTAATTTACCATCCTGCCGATTCAAGGTGAGTTAGCTCATAAGTTTCTGTCCAATCAACCCAGTCTGAAGTACACAAAACAGTCGAGATGAAGGTAGAGTGTTAAGGAAGAATTAGGTAGGAAAGAAAGGAAGAAATTGCGCTTTTTGTGGGCAGGGGTCAAAACCTAGCTAGGATGAAGGGTATTTTTTTTTTAAGACAAAATTACATGATTTTAAAAAGTCATCGTGATAGAGGGGAGTGGGGTGCAACAGACTAAGGTGTTTGTGTTATAGTTTAAAACACATTTTCAGCTCCCAAACCAAGAGCTCAGGAGAGTGCTGGTGGAAAGTCATAGTGCTGGGGAACAGATGTGCCAGGGACCGTGGGGAGAGAGGCAAGCGCTTCCGAGGTGCAGCCCAGGAGAGAGGCAGGATTCAGGGCAGCACCTGGGCTCAGAACCAAGCTCCCCACTAATCCCTGCCACATCATGCCTTCAACCACCTTACTCAGAGTGATTATTATTTTCTTGACTTAAATTTCAAATAAACTTACAGAAGGGAAAACCACTGTTTACTTTCTACCACAGCATCACAATGACAAAGCAGTAACAAAGCTGGACCCTGAAAAATCTGATTGTAATATCAGCCAAGATGAGCTTGGTTCTCTTTCCAAAAAAAACAGGGTCCCACCCAGTCTCCCTTATCTCGTGCCTCTCCTGCCTCCCGCCTTGCTGGCTGCTTCCTGTTGCACTCTACCCCCGTGGCCAGAGCGCAGGCAGGACTGTTCGGGTCTGCTACAGGAAGCTCTAGGAAGAGAATCTTTGGTGGCTGAGTGTGTGACTGAGGTGAGCACTTCCCCGTGTTCACACAGGTTGTGGAGGAAGCACATGTCCATCATGAAACCATGCAGTGAAATGGCCTAGTGTGGAGATGATGCCACCTAGTGTGCAGAGGACCCAACAGCTTTATATAGGCAAGACGGGACGGGTGAGCCACGCACAAAGCTGCCCCCAATTTCCGGGAACACAGTCATGCTTGGCTCTGAGTGCCATCCCAGTGACAACACCTGGCAGAAAGGAGTTAAGCACTCCCGGTCCCTCTGGCATCCTGAGCCCACGTATTCAACACTGGAGGCTGCCTTCTCGCGGGTGCTGATGTTGCTGGTGACTGCCTCTTCTTGGCACAGATGGCTGAGCCACAGCTGTCAGAGCTCAAAGAAGGGGTTATATTTCCTAAGCTCCTGAAAAAGTTTGTCTTTTTCCTGGTTGGCATTGGCCAATGCTTGTTTAGTTTCTAGAAGTTCCTTTTGTAGGGCAGACAGTTCTTTCACCTGAGGAACAATAAGTAATTCAGTTAATAAAGTAGCACAACTTGAAAAAAATAAAAAATAGTAAGGAAACAAGGCAGAAGAAAGATCCACAAGTTTGGCCAATGCTCAAGAGAACCCAACTCGATTTTTTCTAGGCGTCTAATCCCCTTCTCAGAGTTCATCAGTTACAAGGACAACGGCTGGAAGATGTGTGGTCAGCAACCATCCTTCTACCGCCAGCTCCTGATTTACATCCTCTACTCAGTGCATGTAGAGGCTGCTACTAGGTGACAGAGCCCAAGCCACCCATCCACATACAGTACAAGAAACCTTTCCAGCCTTCTGGGGTGGTGTGTGGCTGTTTTGTTTTGTTTTGGGAGGGGTTTTTTGTTTGTTTGTTTTTTAATATATATATTATTGATTTTTTACAGAGAGGAAGGGAGAGTGATACAAACATTGATGAGAGAGAAACAGCTGCCTCCTTTACACCCCCTACTGGAAATGTGCCCGCAACCAAGGTCCATGCCCTTGACCGGAATTGAACCCGGGACCTTTCAGTCCGCAGACCGACGCTCTATTCACTGAGCCAAACTGGTTAGGGTCAGCCTTCTAGGTTTTACCAGCTTCTGCGACTACAGTCCTAGAGGCTTATGGGGAAGGTACTGTTCAGTTAGGTCCTCTTTGCTGCCCAAAAGCCTCCCCTGTGAGCAACAAAAATACCTGTTCTTTTGGGAGCTGTCTCTTTTCACTGTTCGGCACTTCAGCTGGTGATCTGTCCTGAGCAGCAGCTGGAAAAAAAGTAAAGGTTCTAAATGACAAATGGCTGCCCAGATGCAGTCAATTCCAGTTGTCACCTATTCCCTTATAGGAGAAGGCAGGGAAGCCAGGGGGCTCAAAAGCCCAACTCACCGCCTACATGGAACACACCGTCATCACTCCGCTTCAGCACCACATGCTCCATGGCTAGAGTGACGGGCACGGGGCCTGGGGACGTTGGGTAGATGGGGGGGATATCATCCTACAGGAAAGAGGGAGTGCATGATGCCCCCACCAGCTCAGAGCAATCAGGTATAGCCCAGGCTTCTCCCATCAGCCTGAAGCACTGCTGTGTCATTGTTTATCCATACATTCTTGCAAGGTGTGAGAGGCAGCAATGAGTCTCTCCCATTCCAGAGATGGTGAAACAGGATCAGATAAACTAGGGACTTCACACAACCACGCTGCAAGCCAAGGACAAGGTCAGAGCTACAGACAAGGTTGCGGGCCTGAACATGGGGCTTTTTGACAACACAGATGTATATAGAGCTATAACACTGACAAAGAATTCGAATATGCTTTTCCTCACTCATTTCACAGAGACAAAGCAAGAGGCTAAAGCTGTCACTGCCAGAATTCCTGGCCTGATAAAGTCTAGGGTGAAAACCCAAAGTCTCTCTCACCTTCAGGGTGATTCTGGAGGTCAGGAGCTCAATCTGCATGGGAACCACCACCGGAATCACCTCATCCTCAAAGAAGGGCCCCAGGCCATTGAGCACAGAGGTGAGCAGCTCAAGGTCACAGCCTTGAAGCACTAAATGCAGGAAGCCGTTCTTTGTGGCCAGGGGGGAATGAACAGCTGCACCAGGCCCCACCTCAAAGCGTAGGCCCACAGCTGGCCTGATGTGGCAAGTCTTCGAGGTTGAGGATTCTTGAAAACTTGTACCTTAGAAACAACAGAAGGAAAACATTAATTAAATAACAGTCAGGGACTATTCTAAACACTTTATTATACACTAGAGGCCCAGTGCATGAATTCGTGCACAGATGGGGTCCCTCATTCTGGCAGGTAATCATCCACCCATGGGGACCGGCTGGCTGGGAAGGGGCCATAGAAGGGCTCCAGGGCATGTCCGGCCCTCTTGCCCAGCCCTGATGACCAGACCCCAGCAGCAAGCTAACCTGCTGGTAGGAGCATCTGCCCCCAGGTGGTCTGTACATGTTGATCAGCGACTGATCGAGCAGTTGGCCAAAAGTTTGATCCATCAGACACTTAGCATATTATGCTTTTATTATTTATACATAATATTCATAACAACCTATGCCAAAAGTATTATCATCCTTCCCATCTTAGAGAAAAGGAACTTAGACCCAGAGAATAACTGCCCAAAGTTACACCATTTAGAATAGCAGGACAGGATATAGCAGCCTGGCTGCGAAGTCCACGGGCTATAATGCCCATGGAGGAAGGGGGGCCAAGAGCCAAAAAAGTTGGCCTTGCTAAGAATGGCCAAGGAAAGCTCTGAAAACACAGAAGCCTCTACTTTGCTAAATTTGAGTGTCTCTTCCTTTTTGTCAAGTCTTGGTCTTCCCAGATAAAGGCACGCCTCTCTGATAAAGCCAAGCAGGATCTACGCTAATCTCAAAATTCCACAAAAAACAACCTCAGCTGTAGCCAAGGATATGGAACAACCGTGTACTTACATAACTGCTAATGGTACAACCATTTTCGAAAACAAAATTATCTAGAACAGTTAGAGTTTTAACTTCCGGAATGACCTAGAAATGATATCCTCAGGAATAGAACTCTGGAGAAGCTCTCCAACATACATACTAGAGACATGAACAAGGATGTTCAGGGCAACAAAAAAATACTGCAAACAACCCAAATGCCTGTTCAGAATAGACTGAAGAAGTAAATATAGTGATGGGTACAAGAGGTGTTTGAAGGATGATGGTGATGATTGCAAAACTCTGTGAACTTACTAAAAATTATTGAATTGTACATTTATAGTGATTGAATTTCACAGTACGTTGTTTTATTAAAAGCAAATTATACCCTCATTTAAGCCGTTTTTAAAAAGCAAAAAGTAGGATATTTACACAATAGAATATTATATAGAAGAGACAATAAATTATAGCTAACTCAACAGCCTAGAAGAATCTGAAGAATATCATGTTGCTTGAAAAAAAATCAAAAGAATAAAAAACTATAATTCCACTTAGAATAAAGCAAAACCCCACAAAGCAAAATAACACATTGATACAAACATACATAGAAGCATTGTAAAGCAAGAAAGTGACAAATTCAAAATTCAGGGAGCCGTGGTTCCCTCTGACCACGAGGAGAGGAGAGGCAGAGGTTTAGGAGAGGAGTCCCAGGGCTTCAAAATTAATAGCCCTATTTTATTAAACTAGGAGGTGGGTACGTGGATTCACTATATTGTTATTTTTTTATACCTTATATATACCTTATAAGTATTCCTTATTATTTACCTAATATTTTAAAGACCAAAATTTTAAATGAAATGTAATACAAGCCTAGATTTTTCCTGTCATCTTTTAAAGTCTAAATGATAATTCACATCAAAGGATTTAATTTGAGTGACAGAAGCTCCTTGGTCAGATATAATTTGATGTCAGCAGCCACACGAATGAATAAGTGGACACAGTCTCAGGAATAAGCTTAAGGAGCATGGGGGAAATGAAAGAGCTCCCGGAAGTTCCCAGAAAGAAGGCGGCTTTGTTGGGAGCCTTCCTCCCCCCAATGGCTACTGGAGGGAAAGGCTAAGGTCCTGGCTAGGGCAGCCGCCACTGGAGCAGTGACAGAAACCAGTTAAGCTATGGCTGTCCCAGACAAATCCCACCAGCTTGCTGGAATGGCCGCCCTCCTTACCTGGGCACTGTCCATGCAGGAACGGCCAGAGCCCCACGGTGCCCAGGTGCTGCAGGCTTAGTTCCTCTGCCTGCAGGGCCACAGCCAGGTCCTCACCACGTACCTCAATCCCCAAAGAGACCTCGTTCACCTTCAGCACCAGAACCGAGACCTGTAAAGGAGACTATCTTAGCTGAGTCCTGAGCTTCCAGCCTAGACCCTGCCCTCCACAGAGAAGGAGGTAGAGCAGCTGACCGGGTGAGGGTGGAGGTCTTCCCCACTGGGTGGGGCCAAACTGGTGGTGTCCGGTGACCCCTGCCCACAGCTTCCCACGACGGAGCTCCCTTGAACACCAGCGCAGTCCAGGACGCTTGGGAGAGATCCTGGTGGAAGAGATTCTGACCCAGACTCTGTATAAGAAAGGCAACAAAAGAGTTTGGAAGTCAAAAACTTCTGTTCAAATACAATCTCTAAAAACAATGACTATTGCAAAGACAAAACATGATATTTATAAGACTAGAAATTTGAAGACAAACTACATATTTGATGAATTTAAGGAATTACTGTTAATTTTTAAAAGTGCAATGGTATTTCTTCAAATATTTTAAAAGTTTATAAAGCAAGTCAAGTGTCCATGGATAGATAAATAGATAAACAAAGTCTAGCTGGTTTGGCTCAGTGGATAGAGCATGAGCCTGGGGACTGAAGGGTCCAGATTCAATTCCGGTCAAGGGCACATGCCTGGGTTGTGGGCTCGATCCTCAGTGGGGACACGGGGCGGCGTGCTGGAGGCAGCCCATCAGAGATTCTCATCCTTGATGTTTCTATCTCTTTCCCTCTCCCTTCCTCTCTAATATCAATAAAGATATATCATTTTAAAATTGGATAAACAAAATACAAAGGAAATTCTGACACATGCTACAACGTGAATAAACCTTGAGGACATTAGGTTAAGTTAAACAAGATGGTCACAAAAGAACAAGTACTATATGCTTCCACTTATGAGGTACTTAGAGTAGTCAAATTCATAAAGAAAGAAAACAGTATGACGGTTAACAGGAGTATGGAAATAGAGCTTCATTTTTTTAGGATGAAGAGTTCTGGAGATGGGTAGTAGAGATGGTTGCACAACTATCTGAATGTACTTAATGCCACTGAATTATAATTTAAAGACTTATGGACAATTTATGTCTTTTACCATAATTAAAAGTTTATATTTTCTAGAGATGCACAGTGAAAATATTTATGGATCAAATGATGTTTGGGATTTGCTTCAAAATAATATGGGAAGAAGGGAAGTGGGCAGAAATATGTATGAGCCGGAACCGGTTTGGCTCAGTGGATAAAGCGTCGACCTGCTGACTGAAAGGTCCCAGGTTCGATTCCGGTCAAGGGCATGTACCTTGGTTGCGGGCACATCCCCAGTGGGGGGTATGCAAGAGGCAGCTGATCGATGATTCTCTCTCATCGATGTTTCTAACTCTCTATCTCTATCTCTTCCTCTCTGTACAAAAATCAATAAAAAAGTATTTAAAAAAAAAAAAAAAAAAGAAAGAAATATGTATGAAGCCGAGACCGGTTTGGCTCAGTGGATAGAGCGTCGGCTTGGGGACTGAAGGGTCCTGGGTTCGATTCCGGTCAAGGGCATGTACCTTGGTTGCGGGCAAATTCCCAGTAGGGGGTGTGCAAGAGGCAGCTGATCGATGACTCTCTCTCATCGATGTTTCTAACTCTCTATCTCTATCTCTTCCTCTCTGTACAAAAATCAATAAAAAAAAAAAAAAATTTTTTTTTAAATATATGTATGAAATAAAAATGACCATGTGTTCTTAATATTTGAAGCTAGGTAATGGGTATATGAGGGTTCATGATTTCATTATTTACTTTTATATATATTTGAAATTTCCCATAAGGAATTAATAATAATAATAATAATAATAATAACAGCCCAGCTGGGTGGCTCAGTGATTGAGCATCCGATGAACCAGGAAATCACAGTTTAATTCCCAGTCAGGGCACATGCCTGGGTTGTGGGTTTGATCCTATGGGAAACATGAAGGAGGCAGCTAATCAGTGATTCTCTCTCATCATTGATCAGCTGATCAGTTTCTATCTCTCTCTCTGTCTCCCTTCCTCTCTTAAGTCAATAAAAAATATATTTAAAAATAACAATTAAAAAAAAAAAAAACATGGGCCGAGACTGGTTTGGCTCAATGGATAGAGCGTCGGCTTGGGGACTGAAAGGTCCCGGGTTCGATTCTGGTCAAGGGCATGTACCTTGGTTGCGAGCATATCCCCAGTAGGGGGTGTGCAAGAGGCAGCTGATCGATGACTCTCTCTCATCGATGTTTCTAACTCTCTCTCTCTCTCCCTTCCTCTCTGTACAAAAATCAATAAAATATATTTAAAAAAAAAAAAAAAAAAAAACCATGGGCACACACCATTCAGCTTAAAAAACAGTACATTCTCTTTTTCTTTTTCTTTTTTTCATTTAGAAACTTAAGGAACAATTTTTTAAAAATAGATATTTCTATTGATTTCAGAGAGGAAGGGAGAGGGAGAGAGCGAGAGAAATATCAATGATGAGAGAATTAATGATCGGCTGCCTTCTGCATGCCCCCTACTGGGAATAGAGCCTGCAACCCAGGTTTATGCCCTTAAGTGGAATCAAACCCTTCGGTCCGCAGGCCAACACTCTATCCACTGAGCCAAACCAGCTAGAGCAAGGAACAATTTTAAAAGTCTGCTTTCCAGTGTAATTTCCTAAATTGATCTAATTCCTAAAAGTTATTTGTTTTATCACAGACAAAAAGCTCCTAGTTATTTTTCAATAATAAAGTACATAGTTAGGCAAAAACCAGACAACACACACACACCATTAACACCAGTCACAAAACTAATACTATGCTGCAGCTGGGTGGCTGTAAGACAGTCTCATTCTGAGATAAACAATAACTTAGAAGATGTGGGGAAAAAGCTAGCCACAAATCCATTAAAATTTCTCTTTTTTCGCCGAGGCCAGTTTGGCTCAATGGATAGAGCGTCGGCTTGGGGACTGAAAGGTCCCGGGTTCGATTCCGGTCAAGGGCATGTACCTTGGTTGCGGGCACATCCCCAGTAGGGGGTGTGCAAGAGGCAGCTGATCGATGACTCTCTCATCGATGTTTCTAACTCTCTATCTCTCTCCTTTCCTCTCTGTACAAAAATCAATAAAATATATTTTAAAAAAAAAAAAAAAAAAAATTTCTCTTTTTTCTGTTTTGGTTAAGAAAATGTCTATTTTATCTAATCTCAGCTCCTTCTGCATCCTACTGGTCAGAATACAAGCAGCAGAAAGAATGCTTTCTGGACTTCTAGAACATTGGCTGGCTCTGTTTCCACTTACCAGACTCCATGAGCATCACGAAGTTATCACTGCCATCACTGTCTACGGAAATCCGGTCTTCAAGGCCACTGCTGTCCAACGAGACACCATCAAATGACTGCTGAGATACTGTCCTCTTCATGGAAAAAAATCGGAATCGGGAAGCACCTCCACTTACTGGGGCTGCCACCTTCTCATCTATCTTGGCCATGGTCTCTCTGTTCAAAAATAAAAAACAAAACCCACAGATGTGGCTCCAGAAACATTGTTTCGTTCCCTTGCAATAGCCTTCCCTCAGCCCAGACAGTTATTATATACATAAACTTTTATCTCAACTATTTCCGCTATAGGGGAGAGGGGTGTCACGCCATTTTAAAAAATATATATTTTATTATTTTTTACAGAGAGGAAGGGAGATAGTTAGAAGCTTCTATCAGCTGCCTCCTGCACACCCCCTACTGGGGATGTGCCCGCAACCAAGGTACATGCCCTTGACCGGAATCGAACCTAGGACCTTTCAGTCCACAGGCCGACGCTCTATCCACTGAGCCCAACTGGTTTCGGCTGTCACACCATTTTAACAGGTGGCCTTTATGAATCCTCATATTCCAGCATTTCAAGCTGCATAAGCAGCTCTTCCTTATCAACATTCAATGTCAAGGTTATTTAAGGTCATGCCATACAGAGAAGAGAACAACTACCCACAGTCCATGCTAATGAATAGCACCTGAATCCACCCACATTCATTCCACAAGTATTAACTAAATAACTTCCGCATACAAGGCACCATACTAGGCACAGGGCAGAGGTGAAGGGCGAATAAAGTGATGAATAAAACATCCCCTGCCCTCAAGAATTTATCATCTAGAAGGCAGGAGAAGACTCAGCATAAATAACACTATCTGGGGTATGTTACACATACCACAAGAGAGGGACAGAGGTTCAAGCTAAAGGCCAGGCAATATCAAAGAGGGGGAAGATGAGGAGAAGGGGATCAAGAATGGCTTTGTGGAAGGAGACGGCATTTGAGTTGGTCCTTGAAGGACACTGAAAGAAGTAAGAAAAAAAGCATTTTATGGAGAAGAAACAGCATCAGCAAAGGCATAGAACCAGAAAACAAAAAGTCCCTTTAGAGACTAGTAAGTAGCTCAACCCAACTGGAGCATAAATTTAGGGAAAGAAGTGGAAGATAAAGTTAAAAAGGCATAACATTGTGAAAAGAAGCCTTCAAATACTTTTTTTAAATAAAATATATTTCTTTATTAATATCATAGAGAAAAGAAAAGGGAGAGATAGAAACATCAATGATGAGAATCATTGACCAGCTGCCTCCTGCACGCCCCCTACTGGGGATTGAGCCTGCAACCCAGGCATGTGCCCTTGGCAGGAATCTAACCTGGGACCCGTCAGTCCACAGGCTCTATCCACTGAGCAAAACTGGCTAGGGCTTCAAATACCTTTTAATCCTATCCTCCCATTTTACAGATGAAGAAACTGACTCATGGTTAAAGATGAACTAAAAAGAAAAAAGAAAAAAAAAGCCAAAACCAGTTTGGCTCAGTGGTAGAGCGTCGGTCTGTGGACTGAAAGGTCCCAGGTTCAATCCTGGTCAAGGGCATGTACATTGGTTGCAAGGACATCCCCAGTGGGGGGTGTGCAAGAGGCAGCTGGTCGGTGTTTCTCTCTCATCGACGTTTCTAGCTCTCAATCTCTCTCCCTTCCTCTCTGTAAAAAATCAATAAAATGTATATTTAAAAAAAAAAAAAAAAAGAAAGAAAAACCCAAGTCTATTATTACCTTCTTGCAAAGCACTTTTTTTTCACTTTACCAATTGGTTGCAGCCAACATTATAGAAAATCCTGGATGAAAGATTATATATGAATGGGTTTGGAAAACATCTGAGAATCCCTGCTCTAGGAATTGTGGGAAATCTCTGTTCCTTCTGCTCAGTATTTATATACTCTAAAGAAATAGAGTTGATTATCCTATACTAGAGGGCCAGTGCATGAAATTCATGCACAGGGGGTGTGTTCCTCAGTCCAGCCTGCACCCTCTCCAATCTGGGATCCCTCTCACAATCCAGGACTGCTGGCTTCCAACTGCTCGCATGCCTGCCTTCCTGACTGCCCCTAACGTTTCTGCCTGCCAGCCGATTACCCCCTAACCACTTCTCTGCCAGCATGATTAATGCCTAACTGCTCCCCTGAAGGCCTGGTCACCTCTAACTGCCCTCCCCTACAGGCCTGGTCCCCTCCTAACTGCTCTCCCCTGCAGGCCTGGATCCCCCATAACTGCCCTTCCAAAAAGCCCAGTTGCCCACAAATTCCCTCCTCTGCCAGCCTGGTCAACCCTAACTGCCCTCCCCTGCAGGTGTGATTGCCCCCAACTGCCCTCCCTTGCAGACTTGGTCCCTCCCAACTGCCCTCCCCTGCTGGCCATCTTATGGCAGCCATCTTATGGCAGCCATCTTATGGCAGCCATCTTGTGTCCACTTGGGGGCAGCCATCTTGTATGTTGGAGTGATAGTCAATTTGCATATTATACTTTTATTAGCTAGGATAATAAAAGGCTAATATGCAAATTGTCCAAATGTCAGAACAACCCTATGACACGCACTGACCATCAGGAGGCAGATGCTAAACACAGGAGCTGCCCCCTGATGATCGTGTGCTTCGCTGTTTAGCTAAAAGCCAGGCTCACAGCTCGCTAGTGCAGCAGTGGTGGCAGGAGCCTTCCCACCACTGCTGCAGGCAGTCGGTAAGGAGCGAGGGATCCCAAATTATGGGAGCCCCAGACTGTGAGAGGCATGTCTAACTGCAGGCTAAGGCCCAATCCTAAGGGGTCCCAGACTGTGAGAGGGTACAGGCTGGGTTGAGGGACTCCCCCACCTCCAGTGCACAAATCTCATACACTGGGCCTCTAGTTTAAAATCTACACTAATAAAAGAGTAACATGCTAATTAACCATAACTTCATGGCGCCCACCAGCCAATCAGGAGTATGCAAATGAACACAACAAAGATGATAGGTTAATTTGCATATGCAGGTGCAAAGGACTGGGGGCGGGGCAGGATGCAGGCTTTCGGCACCACCCCAGCTGCTCAGGACCTCTGGACAATGTGGGAAGGTGAAAAGGTGGTTCCAGCCAGAGCGAAGGCAGTGCCGGCAGCCAGAGGAAGAAAGACCCATTTTTGCACGAATCTTTGTTTATCTGGCCTCTAATAAATAAATAAAAACTGTAAAGTGCCATGTGATTTATGCCACAGAAAGTATTTCAATTAAATTCAGGTAATAGCCGAAGCCAGTTTGGCTTAGTGGTAGAGCGTCAGTCTGCGGACTGAAAGGTCCCAGGTTCGATTCCGGTCAAGGGCATGTACACTGGTTGTGGGCACATCCCCGATAGGCTGGTCGATGTTTCTCTCTCATCGACATTTCTAGCTCTCTATCTCTCTCCCTTCCTCTCTGTAAAAAATCAATAAAATGTATTTTTTTAAAAATAAAAATAAAAATAAAAATAAATTCAGGTAATATTTGAGGAAAAGGCCTGAAGGTTTTAGAGTAGGAAAATAACAAGACCATACCTGTATTTTAGGAAGTTTGACCTACCTAGCTTTTTCTATCAGGTTAAAAAGTAAAGACTTCAATGAGGAATTCAATTAATTGTTTTCTAAAACAGTTGACATTTGGGGACAGACAGGAGCAACTGATGTGAGATTCCCTCAATGAGGAACTGGGGGTAGGTTCAGCAGTGTTTTCACAAGCCCTCCAGCTAATTCTGAAGCAGGTTTATATCTAAGAATCCCTGCTCTAAGAATTGTGGTCCGAACTTGACAAAGGACAGAATGAGCGGAGTCAAAATGTAGAACTCGAGAAGACTGATGATACCAAAAGGAGAAAGAACTATGTCTGGGGAGAGATAAAGAATTTAGTTGTACGTATGTGAGGTTCCAGGCACTTCTAGGACATCCCTGTGGAGCTATATGCAGTAGATAGTTTTAAATGAGTAGGGGGGGGGGAGTCAGGATTGAAAATAGGGACTATAGCTCTAGCCGGTTTGGCTCACTGGATAGAGCGTTGGCCTGGGGACTGAAAGGGCCTGGGTTCGATTCCATTCAAGGTCATGTACCTTGGTTGTGGGCACATCCCCAGTGGGGGGTGTGCAGGAGGCAGCTGATCAATGCTTCTCTCTCATCGATGTTTCTAACTCTTTTTTTTTTTTTAATATTTTTTATTGATTTTTTACAGAAAGGAAGGGAGAGAGCTAGAAACATCGATGAGAGTCATCGATCAGCTGCCTCTTGCACGCTCCCTACCGGGGATGTGCCCACAACTAAGGTACATGCTCTTAACCAGAATCGAACCCAGGACCCTTCAGTCCGCAGGCTGATGCTCAGCCAAACCGGTTTTGACTGTTTCTAACTCTTTATCCCTTTCCCTTCCTCTCTGTAAAAAATCAATAAAAATATTTTTTTTAATGAAAATAGGGCCAAGACCGGTTTGGCTCAGTGGATAGAGCATCGGCCTGCGGACTGAAAGGTCCCAGGTTCAATTCCGGTCAAGGGCATGTACATTGGTTGTGGGCACATCCCTGGTGAGGGATGTGCAGAGGCAGCTGGTCGATGATTCTCCCCTCATAGATGTTTCTAGCTCTCTATCCCTCTCCCTTCCTCTCTGTAAAAAAAATCAATAAAAAAAATATTTAAAAGAAAATAGGGAATATGGCAGAAATGAGGAAATAGATAAAATAACCTAGAGCACAGGCTGATATAAATCTTCTGAAAGTTTGGCAAATGCAAAAAGAACTTTAAAAATGTTTGTAGTGTTTCACCCCAATAATTCTATTTCTAGATTTAATCTGCATAAACAGTATTGTTCACAAAAATAAGGACATTTAACATAGCATCAGTTCTAGTTGAGAAAAACTGGAAGCAGACTAAATGAGTTCCCACTAGATAGTGGAATGGATAAATAAATCATGATACAACAATTTGCTAGAACATAAGAGCCATTAAAAATTATGTACACATAATTTTTGAATAGGAAAACAAATGGGAAAATATTCACAATAAAACATTAAGTGAATAAAATTAAACATTTCCTATTTCCTATCCCATTGTAAAAACCATATTTTTGTGTATCAGCATTCACATGGATACACAAATATATATATAACACTGGAAGAAAATGGGTGCAAATGTAAATGTGGCTATCTCTGGACAGCACATTACAAGCTGCTCTCATGTTTTCTTCTATTTTTTACATTGTCAACAATGTGAGCACAATCATTTTTTTTTTAATATATTTTATTGATTTTTTTTACAGAGAGGAAGGGAGAGAGATAGAGAGCTAGAAACGTCAGAGAGAAACATCGACCAACTGCCTCTTGCACACCCCCTACCGGGGATGTGCCTGCAACCAACGGACACGCCCCTGACCGGAATCGAACCTGGGATCTTTCAGTCTGCAGACGGAGGCTCTACCACTGAGCCAAACCAGCTTCGGCACAATCATTTTTAAAATTAAAAAATTGTGACCAAGGTGATGAGAATACATAGTTCCATTTACCGGATAAAAGGGAAAGCAGCTGAGGAAGAAGCAAAGATTCCTCCCTTTGGAGTCACACAGGCTCAGGATGAACTGACTTGACTGGCAGGAGTCGCTGCCACTGCAGAGTCCAGGGTGAGGACTGTGAAAAGGCCACTGGCCTGCACAGTCAGGAAGTCGCTGCAGGTGTTTAAAAAAGAGCTTGGCCAGGACAGGTTTGGCTCAGTGGATAGAGCGTCAGCCTGTGAACTGAAAGGCCCCAGGTTCGATTCTGGTCAAGGGCATGTACCTTGGTTGCGGGCACATCCCCAGTAGGGGTTGTGCAGGAGGCAGCTGACCAATGTTTCTCTCTCATTGATGTTTCTAACTCTCTATCCCTCTCCCTTCTTCCCTGTAAAAAATCAATAAAATATATATTTTTTAAAAATAGAGCTGTAACTACACCTTTCTCTGCTCTGTTCATCTCTCCTCTTTCCCAATTCCCTTACTCTTCTGCACTTAGAGAAGGCAGCACATTTGGTGACTGGGAGTCCAGGCTTTTCATCCTTGCCCCACCACTCATAAGTTGTGTCATCCTGAGCAAATTCCGTATCTCTCTGAGCCTCAGTTTCCTCATTTGTAAAATGGGGAGTGATACCAGTATCCATCTTATAGGGTTGTCACAGGAGTTCAAAGGATTAATATTACAGGTATTTAGGACAGTGCCTGACATAAAAAGCACTCAATGAATGTTGGCAGGGCTTATATCATTCACCCCTTTTAAAAGTGTTCCGGTTTCCTTCTTCCTAGACTATGAATGCCTAGCAGGATCTAGCACATCCACAGGCAATGTTGAGAGATCCACTAAGACAATCCACTCAGACAAAAGCTCTTAAGCCACCAACTTTCATACCGAGGTCCCCAAACCACAAAATGTCCCAGCAAAGATTTCCTGGAGTCTTCATTATCTTTCCTAAAACCACAAGGCACCCAATGGGAATGTACCTTTCCACTCTCTGGCTCCATTTGTGTTTCTGCTCACTCCCTACCTCTCTCCAGTGCCTGCCACAGAGAATGGCACATAGTATGGCTTAAAAAGTGTTGCTGAACGAGAGGATGAACTTCCTCTATTCTCCTGGCAGACATAGATAAGAGGGATCATATGGAGCAAACCCAATGCCCAGCTTTTTATCCAAACACAGGTTCTGGGGCGCATCCTCCCTGAGGCCTGTTTCCTCAGCTCTAAACAAAGGATACAAATATCTGCAGCTACCTTACCAGGCTGCCATGGGGATCAAATCAAACAAAATGCTACACTAGCACTCACTGAAAAGACTAGAATGTCATACTGATGGCAGGCATTATCATTCTGATATGGTATATCTGATATAACAGAGAATCAAAGAAAGAGGGGATAATGTAATCTTAAGAAGCAATAAGTTGACTTGAAAACTGCTCAAGAATAGTTTATGATATGTGGAGGCAAGTGAAATCACATGGGATTTTGTTGTTTTATTGCGATTTCTGGTTCTTCACTTATCTCAGAATCAGATGTAGCCTGAAAATGAGTCTCTTCAATTAGTGTTCCTGTTACCCTGCAAGTAGCCTGAATTCCTCCACTGCCCTGCCCTGCAGGCAGCCCTGAAAACCAAACAGGTCATTTTATGCATTCTTCGGGACTGCGCGGTACATCCCACTCTAAAAATGCTCACAGTGAAAGACTGTAAGTCTAATGACCACAACTAGGAGGAAGAGACGGGGTAACTGAAGGAAGCAGAGAACCACTCACTTGGCTGGGGGCAGGGACAGCATCTTGTGCACAGTGGAGCTCATTCGGTCTCTGCTCAGGCTGAAGGCATCCTTGGTCAAAGACACAGCTTCCTTGGTGAGGTCCATGGTGGCATGCAGAGCCTCCTTGGTGGCATCCTTGGTGGTATGAATAGCACTTGACAATTCTCCCTCAATGTTCTTCAAGGGTGAAAGCTCACCCTGTCCATTCATAGCAGTGTCCCTAACACCTGGGGGCTTCAGGGCAGCTGGTGAGCTGGATGCCTGGGCTCTGCTCAGTCTCTTGGCCTGTAGGGAATCGAATGCCTCATGGCCCTTCCCTGCCAACTGCTGTTCAAGAGAAGCTGAGTGCTGCAGCTCTCCATCGCTATGGAGAGGCAGTGACCTATCCTGGGCTGCATCCAGGTTTTCAATGCCACCGTCCTCCGGAAACTTCCCAGGGCTTGCTGGGCCCTGATCTGAGGAGGCATCAGACTTCAGCTCCCGATCCTCTGAAGGAGACAGCTCCGAGTCTATGAGGCTGGTGGTATCTAAACACACAGAGTCAGCTTCGGCAGCACCAGGGGCAGGATGCATGAGCAGAGCCACCTCAGCGCTGGGGAAGAGGACCCCAATGCAAGCTGTCTGGTCCTGCAGGGCAGACCCAGTCATGGCCTCTGTATCCTTAATCAGCTGCTCCTGAAGACCTTGGAGCACCTCCTGCAGGCGGAGCAGAGCCAGGTACTGGTAGTGGTCGAGCCTCACTCGGACATGCTCAGGGGAGTGTACAAGCATGTGAACCTCTGCCGTGTCCTGCAGGTCGGTCAGAGGCTCTTTGATGTCCACATCACCACCGCCTTCTCTCATCTCCATGACTTCGGTAAGGCCGGACAGGCTTTTCAAATCATGTTCAGTCTTTGATCTAAGATGGGACACAGTGTCAGGGGCCAGGGCCCCAGACTGGACAGGACTGCCAAAGCTGGCCGATGGTTTTAGCGTCCCTTCTGCTGCCAAAAGGAGCTTCTGTGCTTGGGCTTGCTGCCAGCGCAGGGGTAGGCAGGCCCAAATGGACAAGGGGAAGGGGGCCACAAAATTCAAGGCACGGCCTTTGAAGTTCTCGGTTCCCTCAAAGTCCAAGGAGATCTGGGGGAAGTGGATGGACCAGAGATCCTGGGAGGCCTTAGGCCTCTGGGGAGGGAGTGTGTTAGCATGAGGGAGGCTGGAATCCATCTGGAAGGCATGCTGCACAAAAAGCATATGCAGGAGACTGAAGCCACCTGGGACCTTGGGGAACTGAACATAATTGGAATGAAAGAACTCAGCAGCAGCAAAGCCCTGGAAGAGACTGTGGAGGTCTGCACAGCTGCAGTGTGGGGGATGGCGTGTATTGGTGGCAGTCATGGCCGATGCAGAGAAGACTAGGGCCTGGGGCCGATGCAGCCCAGCCTGCTCTCTCTTCTCCAGCGGGAAGCTTACCTTCAGAGAGAAAACGAAACCCAATTCAGAATGGCCATCTGAATATCTGCACGCCCCACCATTAACTCACAAGGAAAGACCACTGGGGCTGTGCAACTGTTTTCCTTATCTGTCAGGAGGACAGAGCAGAACCCTGGATCATAACGGGCAAAATGCAGCTGTGGCTGTCAACAGGGAACAAGAATCCCACTCTCTCCCTACCTTCAACCGGAAGGCATCCAGTCGGATGTCCAAGTGCTCATCGTTCTGGCTGGCATCTTCCAGTTTGTAGATAGCTTTGAACTGCTCCAAGCTGCGGTACAAATCCAGGCAAAAGAGGTTTCCCCAAAGCAAGCTGACAGGATCCACAGTAAATGTCAGATCATTTAACTCAATGTAGAGATTGGGACAGGGAACTGGAAAGCAGAGAAGAGAATTGTTGTGTACAAAGTAGCAGCTAGATTCCTACTTACCAGCTAGTATTCATTCAACTATCAAGAGAGCAAAGGTAGATATTTTTACAGGGCAGAGTCTTTAACAAAGGTTGCTAAACTAACTCCAATAACCCTAAACTCTAACAATAAGTGAGAATATAAGTATAGTCCCAAGTCTGACAAACGGGAAGATCATGCCTGAACCTCGATGCTTACCTGGAAGCTCCTGATTATCTGGGAAATAATACTCTGTGAATTCAATGTGAATGGCGGAGACCTGCGCGGGAAGGTTGTGTAGTTTCCGACTGCAGGAAAGGAGTGCAGATGGCTTCTTGCTGGGCTGTTTAGCTGTAGAAACCTAAGTTATCACAAACTGCTGTTAGCATCTGTGCTGCACCCAGAACAGAGTTTCCTCCTCTTCCTCTACTGTCCTTCCAGCCTGTCCCAGGGAGCGTAGTGCTTCTCCACGTGTTCTCCACGTGTCCCAGGCATTCTCACACCTGCCTAACACTATCCACAAGTTCATGTTTTCCATGGAAGGTTTGTAGTAAGATATTCACAGGAAACTGATGGAATCCCAAGTATAGATCTCAACAGACATGCTCAGAAGGAAACGTAAGCGTCAACCCACCCAGAAGTTAGGGAAACAGACCCCAAATTCCGCAACTTTGTTCACACTGTTGCCTTCCAGAGAACTGTCCCAACCCTTTCCAATCACGCTTCCCCGTGCCTGGGGCTCCTCACCTGGTGGATGTCCAAGTCATCCACCCGTACTACCAGGCAGCTAGAGCGCAAGCGATTCCACGCTGGAGGCCGAAGGACAGCCTTTCTTCCTTGAGAGGGATTTCTCTCAAGGGAGTTCTTTCGAGTACTGGAGAGAGAATCTAAATAAAAATTAAAAGGTGGGAAAGACACTCAGACATTCAACTCTCATGATTAATAGAATTAGGAAGTAAGAAATCCTAATCAGGATTATAAAGTGATGACCCTAAGATCATTAATGCCATTTATAGGAAAGACAACCTAACACTATCTACCGTGTTTCTCCAAAAATAAGACCTAACGCATGGAAAGATAAGACATCCCCTGAAAATAAGACCTAGCGCAACTTTGGGAGAAAAAATTAATATAAGACACTGTCTTATTTTCGGGGAAACAGGGTAGCTTCTAGATGGAACTCAAAAATTATCTTCTCCCGCCCAAACCGGTTTGGCTCAGTGGATAGAGTGTTGGCCTGGGGACTGAAAGGTCCCAGGTTCGATTCCGGTCAAGGGCATGTACCTTGGTTGCGGGCACATCCCCAGTAGGGGGTGTGTAAGAGGCAGCTGATCGATGATCCTCTCTCATCGGATGTTTCTAACTCTCTATCCCTCTCTCTTCCTCTCTGTAAAAAATCAATAAAATATATTTTTTTTTAGAAAAATTATCTTCTCCCTAATACCACACAACAGTGACTGAAATAGAGGTGATGACACCCTCTCGCAACATTGCAGCCATCCCTGGGGACAAACAGGACTGGGTAAAGAAAAAGGTCCCTAATGACTCTCAAGGGATAAGGTTGGGATAACCAGTTTAGTCCAGTGCTTTGTCTCACTGGATATTCAAAGGGAAATAGCCAGAGGCTAAGCAACAGGAGTCCTCCAGCTCCTTGTAACCCACCTGCTTTTTTCTGGAAGGGAGAGTCTACCCCCAGGTGCCAGGGAGTTTTCAGACCCATCTCCTCATGCCACTTCTCCATTTTACTCTGAAATTCCATCACCAATTTCTGGGCCCACTGGTCTCGGGTCTCCATGGCCTCACAGTGCCGTACCCAGTGTCTGCAGCTGTCGCCTGTGGAACAAAAAAGCAAAAATATTTTAGTCCAAAATCATGATCCAATGTCCAATTTTTCCTTTCCACTAATATAGTCATAGTTCAGAATCTGATCCCTCAGGCCTAATTCAGAATTTTCTGGGATATGTAAAAATCAACAAGAGCACTAAAGTTCTAGATTCCACATTTGACCATCCCTCAGCTTCCCAAAGGCCAGCTTCTGGAGGCTGCCATCTTTGACTACAGACTACTGAAGAGGCTCTAAACAGTGAAGTAAGGAGCAGAGGAAAGAATCAAAAGCAACATCTCAGGCATTGCCTTCCCTCCCTAGTCGCTCTCATCCCTGATAAAGAATCATCTATGCCGAAACCGGTTTGGCTCAGTGGTAGAGCGTCGGTCTGTGGACTGAAAGGTCCCAGGTTCGATTCCGGTCAAGGGCATGTACATTGGTTGCGGGCACATCCCCGGTAGGGGGTGTGCAAGAGGCAGCTGGTCGATGTTTCTCTCTCATCGACGTTTCTAGCTCTCTATCCCTCTTTCCTCCTCTCTGTAAAAAATCAATAAAATTTTTTTTTTTTAAAGAATCATCTATAATGGACCCCGAAAATTTCCAGAAGGTGTCATCTCGAAGAGGGCTATTTCCAATATCTTAGGTGCTGCAGGGCAGTCAGTGATGAACCCAGAGATCTGTGCTCAATACCTGGGCCATGCTAGAATGGCCCCATTCAGAATTCCCATACCTGCCCAGTGGAAGGGGTAATAGTCAAATGCCATCTTGCGGAAGGTAAGCTGCATGGCACCATCCATGAGTCTGTTTGCAGAGACACCTATAAAACAAAAAGAAAGGTGATTAGCAACAGGAGGAACGAAGATACCTAAGCACCTCTTGAAGCATTAAAAGTTCTCTTCAGGACCTGATACACAGTGCACCTCAAAGACCATGGCATCAGGTGATTTTCAAGACTGAGTCCCTCCTTTTTCAAGTTGCAATAGCCAATGGAAATGCTCTAAAAGATTAAAAAAAAAAAAAAAAAAAAAAAAAAAAAAAAACTATATCCACTGTCTGTATAAATGGCTGCCAAGTTTCCAGAAAGGCAAAAGAGACTGAAAAACTCAGGATTTAGGAGTTCAATCCCAGGTCTCCCATAGAACATGATACCAACCTAGATTGATTGATTGATTCCTCCAAACCTAACAATACTTATATTACTGTCCCTCAGCACAACACCTGGAGAGGCATAAGGCAGATTCCCCCTCAAAAATAGGACCCATGTTATTTCCTCTCATATCCTGGCCTCAGAGTGAAAGCTGTGTATTAGACAATCTTTAAGTACTGCACATTCAAAATACCATGGAATACTAAAAATACTACACTAGCAAGAACACTGCAAAATAAACATACAGAATATTGTAGGTAAATTAGACTTTTTTAAAAAAATATATTTTTATTGATATTTTACAGAGAGGAAGGGAGAGAGAGATAGCTAGAAACATTGATGAGAGAGAAACATCGACCAGCTGCCTCTTGCACACCCCCTACCGGGAATGTGCCTGCAACCAAGGTACATGCCCTTGACCAGAATCGAACCTGGGACCTTTCAGTCCGCAGACTGACGCTCTACCACTGAGCTAAACCGGTAAATTGGACTTTTAGCAATAAGTCAATTACAGTATCAACTTCTGGTCAAGATGGTAGAGTAGAAAATGCAGTACTTGCCTCCTCCCATAACCACATCAAAATTACAACTAAACTACAGAACTATCATCATTCAGAAACACCTGAAAACTAGCTGAATAGAAGTCCTGCAACAAGTGATTTAAAGAAGCTACATTGAGACTGGTGGGAGAAGCAGAGACATGGAACAGGCTGATCTCACACTCACACTCCTGGTGATTAAAAACCAGGAGGGATATCTTGGCTGCAAAGGTCCTCCCTGAAGAGCAAGAGGACCCAGCCCCACACCAGACCCCTTCCCCTCCCCACCCCCAGCCCAGGATTCCAGTGCCAGGAAGAAAAGTCCCCATAACTCCTAGCTATTATATAAAAACCAGCAGGCATTGTGGCTGAGTGACACAGAGTCCCAGACAGTTCCTCTTAAAGGGCCTGTACATAGACTTACTCTGACTCATTCGCTCTGAGCTCCAGCACTGGGATAGCAGCTCAAAAGATACCATGGACATACAGGGAGAAACTGAACTGTCTGGCATCAGGGGAAGAGCTGGGGGGTTTCTCCCAGACAGAAATGCTGGCACAGGCACGGCTCTTTTGATGAGCTCTCCCCAAGAGCCAACAGGCCAACACCATAACTGAATCTCCATCAATCTGGCTCACTGTTAGCCCTGACTTGGTGATTCCTTGAGACCCAGCCCCACCAAACGTGGACCCATCCAAGCTGTTTCCAGTGGCTTTTTCATATGAATGGGCTATCTTGGCTCACTCTTCACTTTCCTAAAATCTCTCAAACAAGCAGCATCTGGCCTCAGCATGCCTCATACTTCTCGCTAAGAGGCTCCAGGCCTGGTACAAAGCAGCAGCTGGCCTTGGTTCCAGGCTTGGCCTCTCTTGGGCATCTCCAAGCTCAGCACAAATAGCAGCCACCTGCAAATAGTTTTGTAGCTCAAGCCTCATGCCCCAGGGCAGAATACAGACAGTGACTGATCTTGACCTGCACCTTCGGGAAGACCCCAAAGCCAGCACACCTATTTGAGAGCTTCAGACTATAATACTTCCAAGCACCACCCAACCACCTCCACAGTAACACACTCAGCAGGCACCAGAGACCCACTGAAGTTTTATAGGTATCTCTGCAAGACACACTCTGTGGAATGGGCCCCTTCATAGCTGATCCTCCATGGTGGGTGGTGGTTGCAGTCAGCCAAGCCTTGTAGCTGATCAGCCTGGGGGTAAATCCCTCCCACTGATATGCCAACAGCAGTCAAGGCTCAACTACCATAGGAGGGTATACACAGCCCATGGGGGTGGGTGGGTGGGAGAGACACAGCTGAAGTGCCCAGCTTGGGTGATCAGGGAAGCTGTGTCACTGGACTCTACAGGATACCTATTTCATTAGGCCACTCTACCAAGCCCAGAAGACATAGCAGCTCTATGTAATACATAGAAATAAACACAGGGAGGCTGCTGAAATGCAGAGACAAAGAAACATGTCCAAAATGAAAGAACAGAACAAAAATCCAGAAAAAGAACAAAAAAAGACAAGCAACTACTAAATGAAGAGTTCAAAATACTTATCTCTTCAACTCAACTCTAAGAACTGTAAGAGGAGGGATTATTCTACATATATGAACTGTCTGCCCTATCCTGGTCTGCACATCCACCCTGTCCCTTACTACAATGAAGGGAAATACCATGAGATACTCTAGGTATAAAATGGCATACCTACAACTAGGAAGGTCCTTTCCCTCCGATATAGACTTCACAAGTTTTGATTAATCAACATCCTACCAAAAGAAACACCTGTACCAGTTTTTTCATTTCTCAATCTTTTTGTCATAATTACTCTAATTATGTTTTCCAATTGTACCCTCTATGAAATTTTAATACCTCAGATATACTGTATATCAGACAAATACTGCTAATGTACTGTATGTCTATCTGTGCTTTATACATAAGAATAATAAATATAAAGCTTATGTTCATTCAATGCAAGGTTAAGAAAAACTAAATTTTCTTTAATTTAACTTCATATTTGCTGAGTAATTTTTAATGCAATTTATTAACTTATATAAATTATAATTTATCAAATTACATATGCGAATTTAAAAATTCTATAAATATGTAACAGTAATATCAAATGTTTATTCAAAAAGCAAAAATAGCTGAAAATTTTAAATTAATTTTATTAAAAATATATTAAGTGAACTTAAGTTTTAACCTTTGCTTCACATGAAAAATACTATTTAGCCCTAACCGGTTTGACTCAGTGGATAGAGCATCAGCCTGCGGATTCAAGGGTCCCAGATTCGATTCTGTTCAAGGGTCATGTACCTTGGTTGTGGGCACATCCCCAGTAAGAGGTATGCAGGAGGCAGCTGATTGATGTTTCTCTCTCACTGATGTTTCTAACTCTTTCTCCCTCTCCCTTCCTCTCTGTAAAAATTTAATAAAAATATATTTTAACAAAAAAATTTAACTAGCTATTAGATATTCATTCAGATTTTGTCAATATTTTTTTCCAACACTTCACTAAATGATGGGTTGAAAAGTCCTCTAATCACAGATATCTATTCACCAGTTTGTAGTGCTGATCTTCCATACATTTTGTGTACCTTTCATGAATTCAACATCAATGCTATTCATGTGATAGCTAAGCAAATCCAACAAGAAATTAAATACTAAGGAATAAAATTTTGTTAGACAGGATGAATCTTGGAGGACTGAAAACCATTATTATATGTAAAATTTTTTTCACTCCTCCCCGCACCAAAGAACCAATTTTTTAAAATATATTTTATTGATTTTTTTACAGAGAGGAAGGGAGAGGAAGAGAGAGAAACATTGATGAGAGAGAAACATCCATCAGCTGCCTCCTGCATACCCCCTACTGGGGACGTGCCCGCAACCAAGGTACCTGCCCTTGATCGGAATCAAACCTGGCACCCTTGAGTCCACAGGCCGATGCTCTATCCACTGAGCCAAAACAGTTACGTCCAAAGAATAAATTTTCAATGTCCAAAATAGGCAAATATTAATACAGAAAGTAGATAGGTGGTTGCTTAGGGCTGTGAAATGGAGAGTGCCAGTTAATGAGCATAGGATTTCTTTAAGGGGAGACAAAATGCTCTAAAACTGGATTATAATCATGATTCCACAACCCCATAAATACACTAAAAAACAATGAGTTGTATATTCTAAATGGGTGAATTATATTATATGTAAATTATAACTCAATAAAGTTGTTTTTTTAAAAAGAGTCAATTTTCACCTGCGTGGGAGAAATATCCCAATTCAAATGTATGAGCTAGGCTACTGAAAAGAGAGGGTTTATAGCCATGCTTTCTCTGTTGGAGTTATTTGGAGTTAAAAAAAAAAACAACAAAAACTATAAAGACTGAGCATATAAAAACAGGGCTTACAAATAAAAACAAATATAATTACCAATTACTAGCATACTTAATTATAAACACATAATTATGTATGACATAAATGATAATATACATAGATAAATTACTAACGATGCCCTCGCCCAAGCATGTCAAACTTGGGGCTGGCATGCTTGGCTAGCCGGTTTGCTCAGTGGATAGAGTGTCAGCCTGTGAACTAAAGGAATCCAGGTTCGATTCTGGTCAAGGGAGCTGGGTTGCAGGATTGATCCCCAGAAGGGGGTGTGCAGGAGGCAGCCAAACAATGATTCCCTCTCGTCATTGATGTTTCTCTCTCTCCCTCTCCCTTCCTCTCTGTAATCAATAAAAATATCTATTTTTTTAAATAAATAAAAGTAAATGACTAATAATGATTCTCCAATGAACTGGTGGGAAAGAACTGCCTAGCTTAAGAGAGACCAAGTTTTGGACTCACAGGCCTTATCTTCGAGAAAATAGTTCAAGAGAGTCAGGTGATACTCTTCCCTTATCAACCACCAACCTCCTCATTGAAGCCTTTGAAGTGAGAGATGCTCCAATTTGATTTCTTTTATTGAGATACTAGTGACCCGGTGCACAAAATTCATGCATGGGGTTGGGAGGGGTGTCCCTCGGCCCAGCCTGCAGCCTCTCCAATTTGGGACCCCTTGAGAAATGTTCGACTGCCCATTTACAGAGATCAGGCCATGGGGTGAGGGGCTGAGGGCTGTTTTAGGCTGGCCACAACCCCTTCAGAGTGCGGGTCCTCGCTGGGGTGTCTGGCCAGCCTGGGTGAAGGGCTGATGGCTGTTTGCAGGCTGGTCACACCCCCTGGAGTCCCAAGCTCCCAGCCCCTCCTTTTTTTCTTTCTTTTTTTTCAGCACCTCCTTGAATGGAGGCCAGGGCCAGCTGGAAGCAGGTATCTGGGATTTATTTATCTTCTATAATTGAAACTTTGTAGCCTTGAGGGGAGGCTAGGGCCGGCCAGGGTGTGGTGGGAAATTTGGCTTCCTCCATCACCCGGGCAACCCAAGCTTCCTGCTCAGTCCAGCTCTGTGGCCACCACCATCTTTGTTGGGTTAATTTGCATACTTGCTCCTGATTGGCTGGTGGGTATAAGAGAGTAATAGTCAATGTTTCTCTTTTATTAGTGTAGATAATTGACATATAACATTATATTAATTTCAGTTGTATAATATGATTTATATGTTTATATTAGAAGCCCGATGCACAAAGATTCGTACCAGAATGGGCTTCTTTCCCTGGCTGCTGACACCACTTTCACGGCTTTTGTTCTGGCTGGAGCCGCCTTTCCACCTTCCTATGCAACTCAGAGCCCAGAGCAGTTGGGATGGGCCAGAATGCCTGTGTCGTCACCATGGCAATGACTCAAGCATCGTGACCTGCCCCTGGCTTCATATGCAAATTAACCACCATCTTTGTTGCATACTAACTCCTCATTGGCTGTGGGCATTGCAAAGGTACGGTCAATTAGCATGTTTGTTTGATTCAAGTGAGGTCTGGGGAGAGCGCTGGCACCTGTATTTTATCAAGTATTACAGGCTGAAGAGCACTGCTTACACAGACAGAAAGAGCAACCACAGCAAAGCTGAGGCTCAAAGAATGCCGTGATAGGGAAAGTCAACCACAGTACTCCACAGAGAGCCTTCCTTCCCAAACTTGCCCAGGCGCAGGCCTCGGGGTACCTGGCTCTCGGGACTGGCTATCATCACAAATGTGCAGGTCCAGGCGGGAGATGAGCAGATGGTAGGAGGACTCTTTCACATCAAAGCTCTCAAAGTACTGGCTGAGCCGGCTGCTGCTATTGCTGCTGCTGCCCTGGCTGCCACCAAATGCCTGGGCCCAGGACTGCTGGGCACTGGGAGCAGGTGGGGTGATCTACATGCGATAGAGAGAAAAACAAGATGAACAAACCCTGAGAGACTGGGATGCAGACTTTCTAAAGCTTTAGTCCGGCCTGAAGAAAAGCACAATTCAGCAGATGCCCCTTCCCTCTCTTAACTGTTCACCTGGTAATGCAGGTCTGGTTTGTCTCACCAAAATTGCCCAAATTCCCAAAAGCCTAATTATAATTAGTCTAGTAACAAGTCAGAGTGCTATTCTGAGGTCTGAATTGCTCCCCAAGCTTTCACTCCCCAGGAATGAGCTGACTGATGCTAAAACACCTCCTCAGAAATCTTCCCTAAACACCCTCTTTTGCCCCAATAAATGCCTGTCTGTGCTCTCATAGCACAGTGTTTCTCTCTGTTACACCACTCATCACAGTACAATAACTTGCTGGTGTCCATATTTCAAAACAGTGAGAGCTCCAAGGAAGGAACAAGAGGCTTTAGTCTAATTTTCCTCTCCGTTGGTGAGCACTGGGCACCAGAGGTATGAACAGAACAAATTAATAAATCAGAGCCAAGGCGAAGCCTATGCACACCCAGAAGTAAATGACAAATCTCCCAAATAAGCCAAATGCAGTCTAGATTCCACCTATGTGGTATGAACAGGCAGGGCCTACCATTTCCCCAGCCCCACCAAGGGGATGTTTTGCCTCTAACCTGTCCAGGTTCAGGGGCCAGGCTCTTTCTCTGCTGGGCTGACTTCTCCATGGCCTCACTCAGGGACTCTGCATACTTCATCATTGCCTTGAGCTGCGAGTCAGTTAGCACCCAGAGCAGGTCATCCAACAGGAACATCAGCTTGGAGGCCACGACATTGCAATCTTTGGTCTGAAGGGGCCACACAGAACACAGATTCAACACCTTGCATCATTCCAAATCCTAAAGTGACTATCGCCCAATCAATTTCAAAGATGGCTTTTCTTTTTTTTCTTTTTTTCTTTTTTTTTTTTAATATATTTTATTGATTTTTTTACAGAGAGGAAGGGAGAGAGATAGAGAGCTAGAAACATCGATGAGAGAGAAACATCGACCAGCTGCCTCCTGCACACCCCCCACCTGGGATGTGCCCGCAACTAAGGTACATGCCCTTGACCGGAATCGAACCTGGGACCTTTCAGTCCACAGACCAACGCTCTACCACTGAGCCAAACCGGCCTCAGCCAGAGATGGCTTTTCTTAATCAATAAAGAAATTAAAAAAAAAAAAAAGATGGCTTTTCAATTCCAAAGACGTGCAAGTATCACAAGCACTTTGGAGAATCAATTTCTTGAAAGTATTAAAGCAACAACAAGACAACTGCAAGGTACCTATGTCAGTGTCCCTAGAAATGGGTAAAAATTGTGGTTTTCAAAATTAAGATGACAGGGAGATGGAAATGTTCTCTTATTAGTGGACTAGAGACCTGGTACAAAAAAATCCATGCACTGGAAGGGGGTTCCCTCAGCCTGGCCTGCCCCATCTCACAGTCCAGGAGCCCTCAGGGGCAGGAGGCGACCCGGTGATCAGGGGAAGGCGATGCCCCATCACACCTCTGCTGCTGCCACTGCAGAGAGCGCAAACCTCGGCCAGCCTTGGTTACCTGAGCCTCAGGCAGCCCTGGTCAGCCGCCATCCGAGGCCTGCCTGCATCTCAGTACAGCCCTGGGAAGCTGGAGGGCTGAGGGGACTGGGGGACTCTGGAAGACAGACACATGGAGTGGCTGGACCCACCTGGGGGTGGGCCTGGCCGTGCCACGCACCTGCGCCCTGGTGGGGCTAGGGGACTGGGTGCTGCCATCTTGTGGCTATGGGCACTGCCATCTTTGAGGCTGTGGCAGTCAATTAGCACATTCCCTCCTTATTGGCTGTGGGTGCTGCCATCTTTTGTGAGGCATGACAGTCCATTAGCATATTCCCTCTTTATTAGATATGACACTGTGGCAACACTAAATTGTAGGCCCTGCCCTTTCAACTGTCATTCCAGAGGCCAATTTACATAAAGAAAAGAGGGTAGCCCAGCCAATGTAGCTCAGTGGTTGAGCTTCTACCAATGATTCAGAAAATCATGGTTTGATTCCTGGTCAGGGCACACACCCAGGTGCAGGCTAGATCCCCAGTGGGCAGCTGATCAATGATTCTCATCATTGATGTTTTTATCTCTCTTCTTCTCCTTTACTCTCTGAAATCATTAAAAATATATTTTTTAAAAAGAAGGAAAAAGAGAAAGAAAAACGGTATACCAACTCCTGGGTTTTCTCGGAGAATAAAAGATGGGCGTTTTCATGAGGACAGAGAACAGACTCACTCTTCTTTTGAGGGATATTTGGATCCTGCCTTGGTTGGTAATAAGCCTCAGTGGGGTGGTGACCAGGTCCTGATCACCATTGTCTGTAGCATCTGCCTCAATCCGAAGGGTTTGCCAAGTTATTTCCTTAAATGTTAAAACCTGGAAGGAGAGAGTAAAATCCCTTAATTCTGTGGATGAAATTAACCAAAAGACAGGAAGTGCAAGGGAGAGACTCCCACCATTCTCAGTTGGGATGCTACCAATAGAAGGCAGTGGATCAGAGATCCATAATTGAGGGGAAAAATATAGTAATAACACTGGACAGGGGTTCCTGCATTCCCAGGAATAGGGTATCATTTGAGGAAATTCCCAAAGCAGGAATACTATCCTTTGAGAACCAGTTCTACTGTAAATCTCCCCATTCTCTCCTCTTGCAATGCTAGAGCTGTCACCTCTCCTCGGCGGGGGTCAGTGATGCGGGTGAGACGCAGGTCACTCTGCTGCCAGCTGGGGTTCACACTGTAGCCCTGGAGCTGCCACAATTCAAAAGAAGCGTGGAAGGCCTTCGAGTGAATCTTGATGGTGATGGAATTGACGATGATGAACATCCCCTCCACCACCTTCTCAGCAAAGCCATACTCACTACAACAAACGAGGCAGACCAATGTTCAGAACCCGGTGAAACCATACACACACTGGGTGACATCAGGCAAGACTTAACAATGCCCACCTTTGGGTGCTAGAACTATGGATAATTTTTTGCTTTATTTCTTTCTTCCCATTTCTACTTTCTTATATTTTTTACATTTCTAATAAAATTTTATGATGATACAGTACTCTTTTGGATGAGATTTTTTTTTAAATGAAATAAAATGGGGGGACAAGTGAAGGCATATGCTGGGGGTAAGGGAGGCTGGGGGTAGGTCAAGGGGGAAAAAGGAGACATATGTACTACTATTTGTAATACTTCAAACAAGAAAAAAAAATGAAATAGAGTTTACTTAGAAATAATCTCCTTTCTCTTACAAAGAATAAATTGAAAAATCTTTTTATAGTCCAGAAAATACCTGAAATAAGGATTTGAGTATTTTCTGTAAAGGGAGGCATAACTATATAAAAGGAACACTAGGTTTCTATAAAACCTCCAAAGACATAATATACTCTACAAAGGTAGTGGAAAGAGGAAATACAGCTAGGTGAGTGAGAGGCATAATACTTGGAAATCTAATCATGAATAGTCCCACCTTGTCCTAGCCGGTGTTCTCAGTGGTTAGAGCATCAGTTTGCACACCAAAGGGTTTTGGGTTCAATTCTTGGTCAAGGGCATGTATCTGGGTTGCAGGTTTGCTCCCTGTCCTTTATTAGTGCACATGCAGGAGGCAACCAGTCAGTGTGGCTCTCTCACATCGATGTTTCTCTCTCTCTTTCTCTCTTTCTTTTTCTCTACCTCTCAAAGAAAAAATATCCTCAGATGATGATTAAAAAAAGAACAGCCGAAACCGGTTTGGCTCAGTGGATAGAGCGTCGGTCTGCGGACTGAAAGGTCCCAGGTTCGATTCCGGGCAAGGGCATGTACCTTGGTTGAAGGCATATCCCCAGTAGGGGGTGTGCAAGAGGCAGCTGATGGATGACTTTCTCTCATCGATGTTTCTAACTCTCTATCTCTCTCCTTTCCTCTCTGTAAAAAAAATCAATAAAATATATATTTTTTTTAAAAAGAAGAAGAAGAACAGCCCAACCTTTACCCTATCAAATATATCCCAAAGACCAAAGCTGTACTTCCACAGTGAGAGGCCAGAAATGGCAAGGAGAGGAATGAATTATAAACTAAAGCAAATGAACTATGCAATTGACCCTTGAACAAAACTGGGATTAGGGAGACTGACTCTCCCATGCAGTAGAAATCTATGTTTAACTTTCGATTCTCCCCAAAACTTTACTAAGAATCTACTGTTAACTGGAAACCTTACCAGTAACATGAACAGTTTGATTAACACATTTTGTATATGTATTATATACAGTATTCTTACAATACAGTAAGCTAAAGAAAATATCATTAAGAAAATCATAGGAAGAGAAAACTCATTTACAGTACCATACATATTTATTTAAAAAAATCCGGTCCTGGCTGGGTGACTCAGTTAGAGTGTTGTCCTGTACACCAAAAAAGATTGTGGATTCGATTCCTGATCAGGATACATACCTAGGTTGGGGATTTTATTGCTAGTCGGGGCATATTAAAAGGCCAGATGTCTTTCTTTCTCTCCCTTTTTCTCTTTCTTGAAATTCAATAAATTCAATCCTCAGATGAGGATTAAAAAATAATAATAAATAATAAGTAAAATAGGGAAAACTAACATGGCATTAAAAACCAAATAAGCATTATCTTTAGGGGTGGGTATGCTAGAAAGGACAATTATAGCACCTTTATTCATATTTTCCAAAGTTTGAAAGCTACCAAAATTTCCTTCAGTAGGTAAATGGATAAACTGTGGTACACCCAGACAATGAAATACAGTTCAGTGTTAAAAAGAAATGAGCAAGAGAGACATAAAAAGACATACAGGAACAGTAAACGCATATTACTAACTGAAATAAGCCAATCTAAAAAAATAGGACTATAATATATGATTTCAACTATATGATATTCTGAAAAAGAAAAAACTAGAGCCCAATCAGTATGGCACAGTGATTGAGCATCGACCTATAATCCAGGAGGTCACGGTTCGATTCCTGGTCAGGGCACATGCCCAGACTTGATCCCCACTGTGGGGCATGAAGGAGGCAGCCAATCAATGATTCTCTCTCATCACTGATGTTTCTATCTCTCCTCCTCTCTTTCTCTCTGAAATAAATAAAAAATAGATTTTAAAAGAAAAAAATAACAAAAGTAAAAACTAGAAAGTGAAAGGACCAGTGATTGCCAGGGGTTGAGGTTGAGGTAAAGGCTGAATAGGTAGGGTACAGAGGATTTTTAGAGCCGTGAAAATACACAGTATGATACTATAATGATTGATAAAAGTCATTATACATTTGTTCAAAAACATAAAATGGCTGAAACTGGTTTGGCTCAGTGGATAGAGCGTCGGCCTGCGGACTGAAAGGTCCCAGGTTCGATTCCAGTCAAGGGCATGTACATTGGTTGCGGACACATCCCCAGTAGGGGGTGTGCAAGAGGCAGCTGGTCGATGTTTCTCTCTCATTGATGTTTCTAACTTTCTCTCCCTCTCCCTTCCTCTCTGTAAAAAATCAATAAAATATATTTTAAAATAATAATAATAATAATTGTTGTGGTTAGATCTTGGGTACACAGGTTTTCATTACATTATTCTCTCTACTTTAGTGTATGTTTGAATTTTCCATAATTTAAATTTTTTATTTTTTAATTAAAAAATGATCTGGACCAGTAATATTTCCAACTAACCTCTGTCCTGAAGCAAGAGCAATGGGAGACTGTCCATTGGGAGGCCGTGGCTCCTCACATGTCTTCATCTCCACCTCCACCTTATCGAGACACTGAAATAAAAGCCACAAAGAGCTAAGCATGTGCACAAAAACTCACATAGCACAGACTGGTCTTACTCATCCCTGCTCCAGTGCCTAGCTGGAATGCTACGTCCACAGTGGGAAGACAATATCTGTTGAATGAATGAAGGAACAAACTGAAATACCAAGAGAAGTCTCATCTTTTCCCTTTCACTTCCATTAACAGAAGAACTCCATAACAAGCATGGGATTAGTTCACAGCAGAAAACATAAATCCACGTTACAGAGATATTACCAGCTTTCAGTATTCCAGTCCTTGGGATAAAGATATGCACCAATCAGTTCCTAAAGAGCTATCATTTGATAGTCACCCAATAGTCAGCATTAACTAAACTTCCAATTTTTCTTGTTAAGATTCTAAGGGAAAATAGGAAAATCTAAGTACCTGTGCAGCAAAACCTGTTATGAAAAACCACAAAACAAAACCAACTCAGGGATCCTGGGTCTTGTCTCAGCTCTAATTCCTATACTGCCCAGCAGTCCCAGAACTAGTCCAAACAATACTCTGTCTCAGAGAGAAGCTCACAGGCCAGATAAAGCACCTACGGTTCTCAAAAGGAACAACCTATTAGGATTCCTCCCTATCTTCTCTCAGATCTCTTAAAACTACCCAAGTTAAAACCAAAATGGCAGCATAGGTAAACATCTGAACTTGCTATCATGCACAACCACTTCAAAACTAAAAGACAAAACGGGTATCATCCAGAACCACAGGAAGGCTGGCTCAGAGGAAATTATACAACTAGAAGGGAAGAGAAAAGCACACTGAAACTCGGAAGAGGGTCAGAGGTGCAGAAGTGAAGGGCAGAGGTATGGAGGCGTGTGCGCAGAAAGGGCTGTCAACTGAGTATTCTGTTGTCTTTTTCAATCGGGAGGCAGATACAAGCTCCCGACTGCTCTGAACTCCAGTTCCAGGTGAGACTATGAGGGCCCAGATTCATACGGGGAATAACTGGACTGTCTGACATTAGGTAGAACTCGAGGGCGGCTTTCTCTAGAGGTGCTTGCAGCCATCATTGTTCCTGCACGCTGCTGCAGGACACAGAGACACAGGACCTCTACTAGGCAGGGCTGCTAGTCAGCCATTGCTGGTGATTCCCTGAGACCCTGCTCCACCCAATTTACAACCCCACCCAAGCTGTGCGCAAAAGCTTTTGCATATGAATGACCTGGCCCTTCGCAATCTGAAACATAACATACTGCAGCTGGATCAAAGAGGCCCAGACCCTCCAAAAGAAGACCCAAGGCTGACAGCAGCTTGCATTGCTTCACAGCGGGGCCTTATCTGGGCACCTCCAAAACCCAAACAAAGAAGAGAAATCTGCAGATCTCTCTGTAGCTCCTGCTGGGTGGCCTTAGGCAGAGGCTAAATCAGCACCTCCTTAGAGATCCAAGAGCCAGTGTATCCAGTGGTCAGAGAGAGTCTACCAGACTAGAACTCTTCAGATACATAAAAGACACACTCAGGGGACAGACTCAGTTAGTACCAAAGCCCCACTGAAGCAAGTCTTGCCTAATAAGGGTGTCTCCAACACAGAAGTTCTCCCATCATAGACAAAACTGATCCTCACAGCCAATTGGCCTGGAGGTCAATTCCTCCCAGTGATACCAACAACAATCAAGTCTTAACTACTATAAGACTGTGCATACAGCCCACAAAGGGGTGCCCCAAGTGTCCACCTCAGGTAATGAGGGAGGCTGAGCCATTGGGCCCTATGGGACACCTAGCACCCAAAGCCACTCTATCAACAGGGAAGCAGCCAAAATTTGGAGACAAAAAAACAGGTCACAAATGAAAGAAATGAAGGAAAGCAAACAACTGGATATAGAGTTCAAAACCACAGTTATAATGTTACTCAAGAATCTTCTAGAAAAACACCGATAAATTTAGTAGACCCTAGAGTATATGAAAAAGCACCAACTAGAAATTAAGCATACACTGCCGAAACCAGTTTGGCTCAGCAGTAGAGCGTCGGTCTGCGGACTGGGGGGTCCCAGGTTCGATTCTGGTCAGGGGCATGTACGTTGGTTGTGGGCACATCCTGGGTGGGGGGTGTGCAAGAGGCAGCTGGTCGGTGTTTCTCTCTCATCGACGTTTCTAGCTCTGTATCTATCTCTTCCTTCCTCTCTGTAAAAAAATCAATAAAATATATTAAAATAAAATTTTTTTAAAAAAAAAAAAAGGGAGACTCCAAGATGGCTGCTCAGGTAGACACCTAGCCGCAGCCGCACACAACAGTTTCAATAAAATACAACTAAAATATAAAATGGACATTACCCAGAACTACAGGAAAGTTGACTGACTGGAAATTCTACGAGAAGCAAGGAGAAAACCAGAAGGAAGCGCGGAGGAGCTGTAAAAGCCTGAGGTACGGAGACATGCCGCGCACACGTGGAGAGAACAGAGCCGGAGAGGAGGGAGGCTGAGTGCCTGGCTGGCGTTCCCTAGCGGGAAGGAGATAAAAGCTCTAACTGTGCTGGGCCCCAGTTCCGACTGCTCTGAACCCCAGTTCTAGGCCAGATCTCAGGGACCTAAGCTCACACAGAGGGAGCTGGGCTGCGAGGCGGAACCCCAGAGGAGCGGCGAGAGGAGGTCCCGGAGGTGCGCACATTGTGCACAGAGAAGGGACGGTTGGCTGTGCCGTAGGATTGCCCCGGTGGGAGGAGACTGGGGCTCCAGACTGCTCTGAATGCCACCTCCAACTCCACTTCCAACTGAACTGAACCCCAATACCGGGCTCATTGGTGGAAAGCCTAGACTGTTTGGTAGCAGGCGAAAATCAAGGGCACCTTTCTCTCAGAGGCGCTTGCAACTAGTACTGAAGGACCCTGAGACCCAGGAGCAGCATAGGGCGTGGCTGACGGAAGCCAAGGCTGTAGGCTCCATCCTGAAACCCCGCCCCATCTGTAGCTGCGAAATGCGACAACGAAGTAGAACACAAACAAAAGAAATGGAGGACAAAAGGCGACTGGATATAGAGTTCAAATCTACGCTTATAAAGTTTTTCAAGAATTTCCTAGAGAAGATCGATAAGACCTATGAGGATATGAAAAGAGATCAACTAGAATTAATAAGGAATCAACAAGAAATGATAAGGGATCAACAAGAAATAAAGAATACATTGTCTGAAATAAAAAATATTGTACAGAGTCCTAAAAACAGAATGGAAGATTGCAAGAATCAAGTCAAAGATTTGGAACATAAAGAGCCAGAAGACACTCCTCCACAGAAGCTAGAAGGCAAGAGAATCCAGAAAGTTGAAGATAATGTAAGAAACCTCCGGGACAACTTCAAGCGAACCAACATCAGAATTATGGGGGTCCCAGAAGATGAGAGAGAGCAAGATATTGAAAACATACTGAAAGAAATAGTGACAGAAAACTTCCCCACCTGGTGAAAGAATTAGACTTGCAAGTCCAGGAAGCACACAGAACTCCAAACAAAAGGAATCCAAAGAAGACCACACCAAGACAAATCATAATTAAAATTCGAAGAGCAAAAGACAAAGAGAGAATATTAAAAGCAGCAAGAGCAAAGAAGGTAGTTACCTATAAAGGAGCACCTATACAATTGTCAGCTGATTTCTCAACAGAAAACATGCAGGCCAGACGGGAATGGCAAGAAATATTCAAGATGATGAATAGCAAGAACCTACAGCCAAAGATAATCTATCCAGCAAAGCTAACACTCAGAATCGAAGGTCAGATAAAGAGCTTCACTAATAAAAAAAAAAGCTAAAGGAGTTCATCAACACCAAACCAGAATTATATGAATTGCTGAAGGGGGTTCTTTCAGAAGAGAAAGTAAATAAAGATAAAAATTATGAACAACAAATACGTAACTATCAACAAGTGAATCTAAAAACCAAGGAAATTAAAAAAAATCTGATGAACAATATTAACTGTTGAATATAATAGAATCAGAGGTATGGAAGGGGAGTGAACTGATGATTCTTGGGGAAAAGGGGAGAGGGGGATGTGGGAAAAGACTGAACATAAACTGTGCACCTATGGATGAGGACAATGGGGAGTGGGGAAAGGGCAGAGGGCGGGGTGGGAACCTGGTGGAGGAGAGCAATGGTTGGGGGTTGGGGTAGGAACATTTGTAATAATATGAACAATAAAAATTTATTTAAAAGAAATTAAGCATACACTGACTGAAATAAAAAATAATATACAGAGATGCAACAGTAGACTAGAGGAACCCAAGGATCAAGTCAAAGATTTGAAATTCAAAGAAGCCAAAAATCATCCAACCAGAAAAGAAAAAATCAAAAAGAATTCAAAAATATGAAGATAATGTAAGAAGACTCTGAGAAAACTTTAAGTGTATCAACATCTGAATTCTGGGGGTGCCAGAAGAGAGAGAGCAAGATATTGACCTATTTGAAGAAATAATGACAGAAATCTTCCCCTACTTGGTCAAAGAAATAGACTTACAAGTCCAGGAAGTGCAGAGAACCCCAAACTAAAGGAATCCAAAGAGGACCACACCAAGACACATCCATAATTATTATGCCAAGGGCAAAAAATAGAGACTATTAAAAGCAGCAAGAGAAAACAGTTACCTACAAGGGAGCACCCATACGACTGTCAGCTGATTTCTCAATAGAAATTATGCAGGCCAGAAGGAAGTGGCAAGATATATTCAAAGTGATGAATGACAAGAACCTACAACCAAGATTATTCTACCCAGCAAAGTTATCATTTTGAATTGAAGGTCAGATAGAGCTTCGCAGATAAGAAAAAGCTAAAGGAGTTCATCACCACGAAACCAGTATTATATGAAATGTTAAAAGGTATTCTTTATATATTTTATTGATTTTTTACAGAGAGGAAGGGAGTGGGAGAGAGAGCTAGAAACATCGATGAGAGAGAAACATCGACCACCTGCTTCTTACACACCCCCTATCAGGATGTGCCTGCAACCAATGTACATGCCCTTGACCAGAATCGAACCTGGGACCTTTCAGTCCGCAGACCGACGCTCTACCACTGAGCCAAACCGGTTTCGGCTGAAAGGTATTCTTTAAGAAGAGGAGGAAGAAAAAAAAGGAAAAGATAAAAGTTATGAACTACAAAGTGACAACAAATACCGTACATATCTATCAAAAAGTGAATTTAAAAACCAAGTGACTAAAAAGTCTGATGAACAGAATAAAACTGGTGAATATAATAGCTTCAGGGGCATAGAAAGGGAATGAACTGACAATTCTTGGTGTGGGGAGTATGAGAAGAGACTGGACAAAAATCGTACATCTATGAATGAGGACAGTGTGTGTGGGGGCGGGGGGTGTAAAGGCAAAGGGTGGGATGGGAATCGGTGTAGGGGAGCTATTGGGGGGAAAGAGAGAGAGAAAATACTGTAATAATCTGAACAATAAATATTAGAAAATTTTTTTAAAAATCTCTACCACAAACATCCCCTGGATTATTTGCAATCAAGACAAACCATTACCAAGCAAATTGGGTGCGTCTTCAACTTTGTCCACTGGATCTGCAAGAGAAAAGCAAAGATTCAGGACTGTGGAAGGCAGGCCTGCTGGCCAAAGAAAGCAACAGCACTCTGAGCCCGATTCTCACCCGGATGGAGGCCTTGTTGCAGTAGACCCGAGTGATGGCTAACCAGGTAGGCAGCTCCAGCACATTCTGTAGAACCTCTTCATCCAGCTCCAGGTTGGTCAGCTGACCCTCCCCTTTCAGGGTACTCAAATTGATTTTGTCTGGGGAAAGATTCTTAGTGAACCTGAAAAGAGTAATGATAAGAACCCATTATTTCCATGAGAACATGCTAAACAGCATTACTGCCAATAACACTTCTGAATTTAGAGAAAACAGAACAATAAAGAATAAACAACTAATAATCACACTGTCTCTATGCCATGGAAGATGTTGGGTGTAACTATCATTGTACTCATGATTGTGTCATCTTTTCACTCAAGAGCCTACAATGGGGATTCTGGGAATTTGGTTGTAGCAGTAGCATCATAGGCTTTTGATATTTCTGAATCCCCATATAAAAACAGAGCATGGGGGGCAGGGGACAGGAAGAGAATAACCAAAAAACAAAAAACAAAACAAAACACACACACACACACTCACAGATCAATTAGACAGCAACACAAAAAGCCCATGGACAGCCCAACTGCAGTTGGTTGAGCATCATCCCATGCACTGATAAGTTGTGGGTTTGATCCCAGTCAGGGTACTTATGAAGGCAACCAATCAATGTTTCTCTCCTCCCACCCCTTCTAAACATGTCCTTGGGTGCGAATTTTTAAAAAATAACACTAGAAAATAAAGCATCTTTATAACCCACCGCCCATATAAGCAAGAGAGCAAAAACATCAACAGCCACAAGACATGAGTGCTATAAGCAGCTGTGCAGATCTACATAGAGAAAAGCAATAAGACATCTGACAGACCAGAGAACAGAAGAACCCTAAGCCAACCAAGTCTTAAATGTAAGACAATGTGACCAATTTGAAACTGGAGGGGTTCTGTCCACTGTGTGGCCCAAAGTAGCTGAAGCAGTCTAGCCCTATACTCATATAACTAACCCAGGCTTCTTCTCAGGACAGGGACCCTGCACTTAGAAGAAACTGCCGGGAGAGGAATCCAAATTAAGATGGGGTAACAAATGAAAAAAAAAGTCCAAATTAAAGGGTGTAGGCTATGGGGGGAGGATAAGCACTTATATTTTTTAACACTACTTGAAACAACAGAAGAGGAAATCTATAAGTTAAAATATGAAACAGCCGAAAACGGTTTGGCTCGGTAGATAGAGGGTCATCTGCGGACTGAAAGGTCCCAGGTTCGATTCCGGTCAAGGGCATGTACATTGGTTGCGGGCACATCCCCGGTGAGGGGTGTGCAGGAGGCAGCTGGTCGATGTATCTCTCTCATCGATGTTTCTGGCTCTCTCTATCCCTCTCCCTTCCTCTCTGCGAAAAATCAATAAAAATTTTTTTAAAAAAACACCTTTCTGTTTAAAAAAATTATTTTAAAAATAAAAATAAAATATGAAACAGTAAGAGGCTAATTATTAGCTTGTTAAGTAGAGTAAAATGAACTCCAGCCCCTTACACATGCCTTTGATGTTATAAAATACATGACCTTTATCTAGTCTTGCCAAAGGGATTGAACCTGAATCTCATCATGCTACTCACAGGGTCCAGTTGTTAATTTGCAGAAAATACAGGACAGAGGAAAACTGCTGAGCTGCACTCTAAGTGTACAATCAGGAAGTTTCAGACCATGGGAAATTCTATAGGTCAAGTGGCCTGGACATAAACAATTCACACAGGCCAATCTTCTCACTAGTCTACGTTCACTGTCTAGTCTTTGCTCATGTGTTCTCACCCACTCCCTTCTCTGCCATTCAAGCCCCAACTCAAGACTGCTCCTTGAGGCTTTCTTTCCCTAACTGCTGCAACGCATATTAAACAATTAGGGTTGCCCTAGCTGGTTTGGCTCAATGGATGGAGCATCGGCCTGCGGACAGAAAGGTCCCAGGTTCGATTCCAGTCAAAGGCACATGCTGGGTTGTGGGCTCAGTCCAGTGTTCAGGAGGCAGCCAACCAATGATTCCCTTTCATAATTGATGTTTCACTCGCTTCCTCTCCCTTCCTCTCTGAAATCAATAAAAAAAAAAAAAAAAGTTAAAAAATTTTTTAGGATATTAGGATATCCTCTCATTCTCCCATGTGCATCCACCCCTGAGCAATTAGATGTTAAGCTCTTTGAAGTCAGGGGCTTAGTCTTAGCCATCCCTCCTAATCTAAATGGCTACCTGGCAGAATTCTGGGCCTATGTACCGTAACTTTTAGCTAATTACACTGCTGGCTAACTAGTGCCAGCTCTCTTCTCTCATCTCCTTTGGCTGATCAATTTAAGGCCAGTTCTTGACAAACTATCTAGATGAGTCTCATCGCTGTCATTCTTTCTCACTGTTACCACCTCTCATAATTACTATTTTCAACACAGTAATTAATTGTATTTGATCCTCCACAGTAACTATACTTAGCCCTTACATATATTAGATGCTAATAGTTGACTTTAGATTAACACAGATTATTTACCACCCAGCTAGCATAGCTCTGGTTGAGCATCAACCTATGAACCAGAAGGTCAAGGTTGGATTCCTGGGCAGGGCACATGCCTGGGTTGCTGGCTTAATCCCCAGTGTTGGGTGTATGGAAGATAGTCAATCAATGATTCTCTCTCATCACTGATGTTTCTCTCTCTCTCTCTCTCTCTCTCTCTCTGAAATCAATAAAAATATTACATATGTATATATATTTTACCAATTTTTTATTTCTCACCCATATCCTTTTCTTTTACTAAGCTGTGTTTCTAGTGTTTTTGGTTTTCCTTAAACCATAAGATCATGACATGCAAGAGTTTTATCTTGAATTGTTTTCTACAATGCTCAAAATGGTATTGTGTTCAAAGACTCTAACAATAATTCAAACGACAGTAAAAACAATTTTAAAAATTAATAAATGTGCAAAACAATGTTGTATATTAATAAGGGATACATAGGAATGCACTAGCATGATAAAAAAATTCAGGAAAAGTGCTTATATGTGGGATAACAGAAGGGGTCCACAGGAAGCTTCAACTATATGGATAATACTTATTTCTCAATGGAGTTGGGAGGTGACTGTATGGCTGTTCATTATATTACTCTTTTTACCTTTTTATATGGTAACCATAATAATAAAAGTATAATATGCTAATTAGACTACACAGCTATATGACCTTCTAGTGTCATTCTGGACATCCTTCTGGACAAGGCCGTGGCAGCAGGGGGCCAAGGCAGAGGAGTTAGGGGCAATCAGGCAGGCAGAGTGGCTCCTAAACAGGAGCCATCAGGTAGGCAGGCAAGCAGTTAGGGGCGATCAGAGAAGTTAGGAACCAAAGGTCCAACATTGCAAGAGGGATGTCTAACTGCCAGTTTAGGCCCTGGGATCCCTGCAGGACTGTGTCTAAACCAGCAGTCGGACATCTCCCAAGGGGTCACAAATTGCGAGAGGATGCAGGCCAGGCTGAGGAACCCACTCCCCACCCCTGTGCACTGGGCCTCTAGTTTAATAATAAATCCTTTTAAGATTTCTGCCAATTACCTATCATATATACTTAATACTGAGAGAACTACTCAGCCGTGAGTTTCTCATACTGCTACTGTCTTGCTCGCTATGCCAAAAATGCACAATCCTGACCACTCCTTACCCAGGCCACTTCTCAGGATTGCGTTGCAAAGAGCAGCTTTGAGAGATAATATCCCCTCCAAAACAAAGAGTAGGCTTTTTAACCATTTACCAAAAGGAATAGGTTCCCCAAATTCAACGTTCTACTCCTGTAACATGTGTGCCGGCATCTATCTGGACTCATTCATGTCACTCCCACGGAACTTGGGGCATGGAGACTAATTGTAAACATAAGTTTATGCTGCTTGCTAGGCTATAAGTAATTAGGTCCTTTGTCTCTGATCCAGGAATCTCATGTGTTCTGCCACATACATGAACTGTAACAGGCTAATTATTAGCTTCTATACAGGGTATAGTAAAATCCCAGACTCTTAGACATATTATACTTTTACTGATTTTAATTAATAAAAAAAATTTAAATATTTATTTACTGAATACAAATCAATTTTGTTCTTAGATTCAAAAAGACAAGCTTTCCCTAATGGCTCTTATCATCTAGAAACTAACTTGCCACAGAGGGAAAGGATTCCTCTTTTCCTGTAAGGAATGGCTACCAGCCTGGAAACAGGACTGGGTTGTGAAAGCGCAAAAAGAACATCTTAATACTTCCACTACATGAAACAACCACCAAAAGAAAAAGAAGATATATAATGCACACCCACTTGAGAAATTTGGAGACAACATAGTCCTGAGGGATGGAAAGAAAAGTAGGAAATAACTCAGCATTATTTGTAATCACTAAGAATAGGCAGGCTTTCTTTTTCAAGTCCCTTTTGTATTTACTTATTATTTCTTTCAAGTCCCTGTGTATTTAAATAAGATATTACAATTATGCCCTGGCTGGTGTGGCTCAGTTGAGTATTGTTCCTGGCATCAAGAGCTCCCAGTCAGGGCATATGCCCGGCTTTTGGGCCCCATCCCCAGTAAGGGGCGTCTCTCTCCTTCTCTCTAAAAAAAATTCAATAGAAACATATTTTTTAAAAGATATTACAATTATTACTTCTTCCTAGCAGCCATTCCTTTACTGTTAAATATTCAGGAAAGCCACATCCACTCAGAATTTGGGGCGGGCATCCTTCAGAAGTATTTGTCTTAAAGATAAGAATATTTGAAGACATAAAATTAGTTTGTGAAAATTATGTTTCCTCATGTCCTCACCACAGATTCTGGTAAGACTCTATCTTTCTACCACAGCTGAGACATAGAGGGAATGGCCACTATCAAAGATGGAAGTAAGGATCCCTTTAATACGCAGGAAAGGGGAGAGAAAAGTCTAGAATCACTAAATAGACTACTTTTCCTGGTGATAAAAAAGCATTTTTAAGAAAAGAAAGTGAGCCGGGACCGGTTTGGCTCAGTGGATAGAGCGTCTGCCTGCGGACTGAAAGGTCCCGGGTTCGATTCCGGTCAAGGGCATGTACCTTGGTTGCAGGCACATACCCAGTGGGGGGTGTGCAGGAGGCAGCTGGTCGGTGTTTCTCTCCCATCAATGTTTCTGACTCTCTGTCCCTCTCAATTCCTCTCTGTGTAAAAT